ACCCTGAACCCTTTGATAAAACTTATGAGCTTGTTGGGGGATATAGCTAGCCGGCTACATACTGTCGGAGGCCATGCAAACCTAGCAGCCTAGGTGTTTTGTTCCAGCTATTGCCAGGATGTGGCTTTTTAGCAGGACAGAACCTTATACATACTCATTTTGAAGACTCGTGCAGGACTGGAAACTAGGTTAGACAGGATTGTGTCACAGCCCCAGAGAGCTTAAGTTACATCCCCGAATGCAGTATCGATAACACTCCAGCAAGACGAAACCTAGGCTGGGATCACCTGGCAACCTTCCAATTCTCGGAAAACCCCTGCACAGTCGACCCTGTATACACCCTACATAGCTAGCTTTAAGCTGAGCTCGTGCTGCGACTGCCACCGAATCTTCACCCGAACAAGTGGCAGAACCAGAGACCAAGCGTCTCGATGTGATGAAGGAGCTCAAGGAGACCTGAGATGTACAGGGCTTTCAACACCGTTTATTGCGGGAAGTTCGGAAGTCACCGGAGCCCTTGCTCCCGGACACGACCCAGGTTCTGAGCAAACCAAGTGGGAGGACAACTTCTCTTGGTGGGCACCTATACTGCTCGGACATGCAAGAGTCTAGAGCCCCACCACACTCGTCAAACTGCTTTGTGGCGACAAACCAGCCACCCTCCACCACGGAGCAAGTTTCGACAAGACGAGTGGATCACCTACCGACACAGCATGTCAGAACTACGAGCACGACGTGAGCATCGCCATGATTAGGGCTTGCAGGGTTCTTAAATAGGGTGGCCAAATATCGGGGCTCATTTACTTAGATAAGCACCGCCGCCCTCATCTGATGCTGATTGAACCCAGGGCCGAAACCCTCGATCTAAGCCCCTAGCTAAAACCATATGTAATATCTGCAATGCACTTCCTTACCCGGACCAAAGTAGCAGATATATTGCATTGCATCCATTCATGAATCATCGGGCGACTTACACGTGTGCAGATCATGCGGACCAGGATTCTCATGGTTTTGACGTTTCCAGATAGCAGCTCCACATACAACCAATCAGCTTGAGCGGAATGGGATGGCACCCACCAGGCTGAGCTTGATCTCAAATTTCTGAGATCACAGCATACATACATTTATAAGGCTAGCTAGGGCTCTCAGGGTTCATTTGGTTGCCATTGGTGAATATTAGGGGTTTAGGAATAGATGGGTTTAGGGGATGTATGTACGTAAATATATATATATATATATATATATATATATATATATAAATACCTGATAGGGTTTGTATAATCCTATGTGTGTATATATATATATATATACATATATATACATATATATAGAGGGGTTTATAGGGGTGTTTAGGGGTTCCGGGTTCAAAGGCCTTTGGGTTTAGAATATAGGTTTGGGATCGAGGAAGGACGTGTCTCGGAGAGTGATTCTTGGCTGGTGTCCGTAACATTAAGGGTCCAGAATTATATAGTTTGGATCGATCACGGACCTGGTCGCTTAAGGGATCAACTTTAAAATATGGGTTTAAAATGATATATGTATATAAGGTTTGGGATCGATCAAGGAAGTGGTCTATTGGGTCTCGGAGGGTGAAGCTAGCTTCAGTGGGTCGGGCCGAGCAGAGTGATTCTGGGCCTGTCAGGGAGTCGGGGTGCTTGAGGGTTCTAGCTAACCATACGGGGTTAATTATGCTGGCCTCGCACTGGCTCCCTACAGAGCCCACCAAACATGCTTCCAAAGACCCGTGTAGTAGCTCCATAGGACCAGACATACATAACGAAATCACATTCAAATTTCCTATCTCAATTACCGAGACCCAGGACCCAGCAGAAGCAGACCGACTATATAAATGTATTTTGACCAAACCTGAGAACACCCAAGCTGCCCAAAACACGTAACTCCCAGCACCACTTAAGAACCCTCGGAAGTTCCCAAGAAGTAATGTACTTTGAAAACCCGTGAGCAGTGCCATGAAGTGTTTGGGGTGTTTTCTCATAGTCGAATCTAGACGAACCCCATGAAGCCCAACTAACCGTAAGCTTCCGATAACCCTTTCAAGCCCACCACGGGACATCTTATAAGAGTCACCCCAAAATTAACGGCTTCCTCAAAGCCCAGTCCAGAAACCCTAAACCACCCTAACCCACGAAAGATCCCTCTAGAAACTCATCTTTGCAGTACCTCTACGAATCGCCTCGTCGTGCAGGTGGCGGATGCTGTTTCGCCACGGCGTGGGCGACAATGCCTGGGCGAAGGAAGGAATTGAGTTCGTTGATATTGTTGGAGATCAGGTTGATGCGGGGCGATGTTCACTTTAAGAAGGCTTCGCACATGCGTGTACATGCATGCATATGTACACAGCAGAGTACACAAATACTAAAAAGAGCATAGGCAATGTTGGGTTGCCTAATCCGGGTCCTTAAGCAGGCCGGTCGCCATCAAGACGAAAACAGAAACTAAAGCCGCCCACAGCCATTGCTAGGAAGGCTTCACAGGGTCCGATGCAAAAGTGAAGTATGTTTCTATGTAGGGCCTATTAGGGTCCTAGAAGAGTTCTACATTTGAGATACCTAGGATGTCTAAAGTCTAAAGGCCTTGCTCATTTCATGGCAATGCAATCACTTCAACCAGACTCGACCACTGTGCACTGAAGAAGCTGCATTCAATGTGGCGTCTGCAGAGAAGCAGCCGAATCAAAGCTTATAAGATGTTGTGCAGCATTCAAAAACAGGCCAGCACTCGCTCGGAAACCGCAGAAAAAATCCGCGAGCTGACAGGAAGCCCTGTGCTCTCATCAAGCCAGCGGAAGCACCTGCAGGCGGGGACAGCTTCCAACACCCATATTAGTGTCAATTGAGGCCCACCAAACCCTAAACACCAAAACCCTAAACCCTAAAATCCTAAACCCGAAACCCTAAAACCCTAAACCCTAAAACCCTAAACCCGAAACCCTAAAATATGTAATCAGACAAGGTCCTGGGGTCTGCACATCTCACAACCCCTCTACGATACATCATACACAACAGCAGGCCCAAACTCAGCTGGATCTAAAGTCTGCAGCAGTCAACAGACACAATGAAGCACACATGTTGCAGCCTTGCCAACGTGCTTTTTCCGATCCCGTGCTGCTGCGATGCTGGAACGATAGTGCCCATGTGGCCAAACCACATAGGTTCCGACGGCAAAGCAAAAGCTGAACTGCTGCTGCAAGGGCTGCTGCCAGCTTTGTATCATCACTTTTCGCATGCTAGTTAGGGTGATAGGAGGTTACATTGTGGTACAAGACATATCAAATTATGTAGGGGGTGGCTGCAACTTCGGTACATTAAGATCCATGCAGCTACGATTGCTTAGTTCTGTGCTCTAGAGAACTATGTACAATTCTATATGGAGCTAAGTAAAGCTAGCAGACTACACCCTCAGCAGCATGCCTAGGTACACACAGTTGCCTTGCATAACCCTAACTCGAGCTAGTGGCTGCTCGTGCAGTTGAGACCAGCAAATTGAAGCCACCATTGCATGTTGCCATGCTGGCAACCACAACTGCACCCAAAGATCATAACTCACACGATGGATATGCAGCACAAAGCCAAATCTCAGCCTACGGGTAGTTCTCATTCGTGCTGTCACCTGAGCAGGCTACAAGACACGGCTGGGCAATGACAACGAGGAGACAGGGACACTGTTGAGTTACTAGCGACAAAGCGATGTTGTAGGAACTTGTCGAGCATCGGTTCACAGACAGAAATTGAACGGCGTGCTTCATGGCAATCTTCTCGTAGTTCTTGGGGTTCACTCCGGATGCACTCAGAGCAGGGAAGACGAAGGCCCAGAAAGTGCCCTGTTTGCACAGCTTACCCGCACGGGTTTAGGGCTTCAGGGGTTTGTGGGGTTTAGGGTTAAAATTAATAGAGTATAATGTGGTTATAGTACAATGGGTATAAAATTAAGGTTTATAAACCCTGACCCAACCCAAACAAAACAACAATGAAACCGGTATATAATTGTATATTTCTAAAACCCATGCACCTCCCAGCTGCTCGGGTTGTCGAACTTGTCAGCAATATGCTGATTGAACGTGTTCTTCACGGCGTCAAAGCGAGCTCGAGCAGCGTCGCCTGTAGGTGGGTTGCGACTCGCAAAGGTCTTCCTCTTTCGTCCGGCATCCCGGTCGGTGTCCGCAGGCTCCTTGACCTCCTTCGCCGAAGCATCATCATGCTCCTTGGTGTCCTTGGGCTGGCGGGCTTTGCCTTTGGCAGTCGCCTTGGCCTTAGCCTTCTCACCTTTCGCCTGCTTCGGACCAGGCTTTCCACCACCAGGCTTCGGACCAGGCTTTCCAGATCGCTTGGGGCTAGGCTTTCCTGCAGCCTTCAATCCAGCAGGCTTTGGAGCTTGCTTCTCAATCGGGACAGGCGAGTAGCAAACGGTCTGCTTTCCATGCGGGCTGTCCTTCGCCTCGTCATCATCATCAGACTGTTCGGGCTCGCGAATCGGAGACTCGGTCTTCCGAGGCTTCTTGGATTGCGGCTCATCCTTGCATGCCTTGGTCGAGCCGCCACGACCTCGGCCTCCACGACCACGTCCGCCTTTACTCTTAGTGCCCGAAGCCGGCGGTCGCCCGCGACCTCGGCCTCCACGACCACGGCCACGTTTGGAAGCCGGCTCGTCCTCATCACCTTCGTCGTCGCTGTTTTCCCCCTTCTTGCCACGTTTCCTCTTCTTGTCCTCGGCCGCCTCCTTGTCGAACTTGTTTCGCTGCTCTACCCGCTTCACCATGTGATCCTCCACAGAGAATGCATAACAGCAATCTGCCCTATGTAGTACCTATAGATTACAAAAGCCGATCTATGAGTATAGCTAGCCGTGTTTCGCCAAGGCCATATATATTATGAGGCAGACCTTGCCGAACAACCAGAATACTTATAATAAGAGATTAGACCCCAGATATTTATGATATTTTGCACCCTCTTATATAGCCCTATTATAAATCGGGACACACTCTAACTTGGTCGCAATCCAAAGAACCGCCCTGCCTTGGGGTCGTAGGTCTCGAGGGTGGGAGTTGCCTTCGGGGGGGTCCTCTTCGGCGCATTCGGCTTTGCAGGCGGCTCGATCGTTGGCTCCGTAGGGGGATTCGGCGGCTCCCCGTCGTGCGTGCTCCCGTTCGTCTCGGCTGCAAGAAAGGCGGCCTCACCAGCTTCGCCGTCGTAGGCCTGGGTCTCCTCCTCGTCGGGCTTCAAGCCAGAACCTTTGGAGATCCAAACAACAAAACCTCCTCGAAAGGCTAACAAACAAATATCAAACTTGATGGCCGAGCTGCTCGAATCCAGCTCGCGAGGCACTGGAGCTGCTTTAGCAGCAGCCTTCCTCATCTCCAGTTGCTGCCTGCTTCAGGATTACATCACAGAAAAATAGCAAGAACCACTAGCCAATAAGTTATATATAACTTTCAAGAAAGCAACGACCACTGACCACAACAATAGCACGATCACAATAGCAGCAACCACTAGCAGTCACTAGCGAAAGATGCTTAATAGGATTATGGAGCAAGAACCACTAGCCCAATCACCTCAAAACCCGTCAACTTGCCAAAAAAGCAGCACTCACTTGCTGAACACATGCAATCTATATATAGCGATTCACAAATGGCAGGCCTCACTTGCTCCATCCTGATATTCAGCTGATATCGAACTTGCTGGCGTCTAGGATCGGTATCCACTCTGTCCCCCGAGAAAACGTGAATCTTGCTTCGTGGCATTGGCTTCGGCTTGGAACCACCTCCTGTTCCCGAAGAGGATGCTGCGGCTAGATCTGGTTTTGCACTGGCATCTTCGACTGGGGATGGCTTGGGATCCACCTTTGCACTGGGAAGCTCCGCCCGGGATGGCTTGGGATCCACCTTTGCACTGGGAAGCTCCGCCGGGGATGACTTGGGATCCACCTTTGCACTGGGAAGCTCCGCCGGGGATGGGATCGGATCCACCATTTCACCGGGAAGCTTCACTGGGGCTGGCTTGGGATCCACCTTTGCACCGGGAAGCTTGACTGGGGCTGGCTTGGGATCAACCTTTGCACTGGGAAGCTCCATCGGGGATGACTTCGAATCCACCTTTGCAACGGGAAGCTCGGCTGGCATCGAAGGCTCGCCTGCGGATGGCTTCGCCACCTCTGCACTGGGAGTGCCCATGGTTTCTGAACTCGAAGGAACATCGACTGGTGATGGCTCAAACTCCGCAAGAAGCTCATCCAAGCCATCCGACCCATCCACCTGAGTTTCTTCCACCTCCATCCCATTGCCCCACCCACTGTCTGCTGACACAACGGTGTCCGTTGCCTCCACTGCATCGTACACGTCATCAGGCCTGATGTCCTCGATGGCCAGCGGAGCAGGCGGATCCGCCCCCGTGTCCGGCCCAACAGACTCGGTCCAATAGAAACGAAGGATGTTGTAAAAGTCGTCCAAAGCTGTATCCTTAGATAACACTATAAACACACCTGGACCGCTGTTTGATACACATAATTGCGTATCGAAACTTTTTGGTAACGAACCCCGCAAAAGCACTACGATATTCAATAATCGCTCGCTTAATTTGATAAGTGCTCGGGAGGTTTGCTGGGTGTATACAACACGCTCACATTGCAAGCACAGCTCCAGCTGCCGACGCTTTTTCCTTCTCCAAGCTCGAATCGGCCGGGGTTCCCAGGTCACAGCTCGTTGCTTCGGAACTGATGCCGATAATGCATAAGCGCACGATTCAAGGATTGAAGACTCGTCGTAAAGGGATGCGTGCGTCTGGCGGCCCGGCACACCCGCCCAATAAAGTCTTCATCCGTCCAAGTGCATGTGCCTAAGTAAGGCAATAGCAGTACAAGCGGTTACCCTTAACCCGGCCCCAGCTGCGTTCAAGTGGCAAAGAGGGTTCAGAGCGAACTTGCCACCGGAATCTTCGAGGTTGTATTGGATTTCCAGCCTTGGGGTCAAGGTTTTCGTTTTAATTGCAAAGGATCGCTTCGAACAGACATGGTGCTTTTCAAGACTAGCAACACGATGTGAACAGCCATGTGCAGTTTGGGCTGCACACGGAATAAAGCCCAACCGAATCTGTTGCTGGCTTCAGAAGCTAGCATTCCATAGCCTTCCTTGGTGTCTATGTATCATGCATATGAACCTCCTACTTTCCCGCCCGAAAGCACAATCCCTTTCAGCCAAAGCTCGAGCATTCTGAACCCCGTCTCCACAGCAAGTCGCGCTGAATCACCATGTATCCAGATACCAGCAGAATATAGTAACCGAAAGTGAATGTTCACGGCTTGGGTCGTCCATCGAAGCAGCTGAAAGAACCGTCTGTACTGCTGGTCCTTACACTATACAAAAAAGCATGAGCCCATTGACAACTCCACAGCACATAAATATATACCATGCACAAAAAACAGTCCAGACAAACACCATGGGACAATCGAGGTCTCATCTACAGCTTGGCACTCCTCCAGCAGCCAGGACCCAAGCAGGGCACAGTCATGGCCCTTCCCCAAACCATGTGGGAATTCCTTTAGCCTCGGATGTAGGGGTGTATGGGACTGTGATATAAAATGCATGCACTACGTAAAATGCACTAGATCAATCACAGGGCTTTCTGGTTACATCTAAGGCACGAAGATATTTTGAAAGAAGTCAGCTCAAAGTCACTGATGCTGGTGCTTTTACGATTCCTCGAACACCAGTCACGAAAGCGGTTGTATGCAGTCTGCAGGCAAATCTGTATTTTGGCGTGCCCAAACACACCAAGGCGAAATAATGTAATCACACCTGAAGCCGCAAAATGCTTTCCCCACCCAGCAATAGCATACGTGTGAGCCAAGTCCGGTCTGATAGTTCTCGGAGTTTTCATCCATGGAAGCAACCGTAGCTGAGAAAACTTATTTGACCAATAGGGGTCTGGAATGACATCGTCCTTCTTCCAAGCCCTTGTTGGGCCACTTGGGCCAACATCATACCAATCCTATGGGTCAGATAAGAAACACGAGAACCCTTTCAAAGTTCTAGCTTACTTGGTACCCAAAGTTATAGCTCCAACCACTTAAGCTCTACTAGAGGTTCTGGACCACGACTCGGTTGAGGAACAAAGATGGCACTTGCGGGTCGAAGTAAACCCGCTGCGTAAATGTGTCGCCTTTCTCAAATACGGCCAATCGCCTTTCAAATAAATCATCGTGAATTTCAGCCGTCGCTTGTAGGTATTACCGTGATGATCAGTAATAGGAACCTCGGGAATCGAGTAGGGATCTTGTCGATATACATTAAAGCTAGAGACCAAGAACCTAGACTAGAACCAACTTCCCTACACCCGTACATTCCCACAAGCCCACTTAGTCCTACTCGTAGCTTAATGACCCCAAGCCCAAACCCTTCGCCCACAAACTTTGACTCAAGATAGCTAGTCGCTTCGAGGCCCTCCTTGTGCAGTTGGAGCAGGTCAGATGCCAAGGCACCATGCAGAGTATCCAGGGTCGCATCGCCAGCATAGATTGTTGAAGGAACAACAGCAAATACCAGTCGAGTGGTCATTGAGTGCCTTGGGTTGGGGGCCACAGGTTTAGCTACGACACATAAGAAAAGTCTCTGGTCATGCATATAATGGCGACACTATGCAACATCGTACTGCAGAGAAGCTACCCTGACATGTTCACAAATTCTGGCCCCAGCCAACTCACCAATGGTTGCACCGCAATCACCATTGTGGCTACTTTGTTTCGACCTCTGCCCTCATCGCCATGCACCATTATAGGGATTCTAGAGGTTTCTGCATCATCTTCAAGGGCATCCACGTCTTCAGAATAGCAGGAAGCTCCGATGACCTTTAGCCGTGACCATGCATCCTGGAACAGCTGTGTCCACTCGGATACTGCTGTAAGCTCATATCCACCAAGCAACACTTTCGCATGATTCAGCAGTAAAAACTTAAACCAAGAGCTCGGTAGGAGAACAGGAAAGGGAACTTCGGCTTCTTGGCGGCGGCGCTGAAGTACTTTGACTTTTGTTGTAATAAAAGTCACCGGAACATCAAGCGTTCGACCCCATCTTTGCACCAGTGCATTCAGATTTTGAAGTGCATGTGTCTTTGTCTTGTCAGAGACACCGCAAGCTGCAACCTTCTCGAGAATACGGTCGGCAATACCTCAAGCCCAGGCCGGTATTTTACGTAGGAGCTATACCTATCTGCAACATACACGGCCCCAAACCCCCAACCTACTAGCTGATTGGATCAAGGGACCATGTTTCCGGAGCAGGTTCGAAGCAACTGTAGCTAGGCGCACCACTCGCTTTGCACTCTCACCCTTAGTGCCACTACATGATTTGCAGATTGACCACAATCTATTATATACACTATAAAGTCACGAACCTCAGATCGAAACCGGCTAGTGAGCCCTTAACCATGGCCCAGCTTCTCCCTCGGCAAAGGAGACAAACAACTCCTCGACCAAATCGTCGTCGTTGTCATTTCCGAACAGCAGGCGGCCTCACGAGCTTGGGCGGGATTCTTTCAGGATACCCATGGGTGTGTAGAAGCAGACGTGACTTCAGTTATGCGGCTAGACTAGCCTATATTGCTTAAGGGACACAGGGTAGCACCTCGTTCGTCATCGTGTTCTTGAGTGGCTGCACGAAGTAGTCGACCTGCGAGGGTGGGGCCAAAAGGGTAGGCCACGTACGGGTTGCTATAGTTCCACATGCGTGCAAGCACTGCTGGGCTTCGAGAACATATATCATGCATTTTCGTCCAGCCGAGCACCCCTGCTGGAACCAGTGTCCACAGCACTTTTGCTGCTCCACTTCGATGCTAATTGCACAACCCATCTCAGCTTGCTCGACAACACAATTATGACTAAGCTTATATGCACTCTCTAGATACCCGGCTGCGTGCCAGAAGCCTCGTGCATGCATACGTGCCGCAAGGCAAGCAGAGCACATGGGCAGAAAGATCATGTAGATCTGCAGAACTCAGCTCTGCTCGACGATCCGTGCGAAGCCTACTTCTTCGACTTAGGCTTCTTCTCCTTCTTCTCCTTCTTCTCTTTCTTGTCCTTTTTCTCCTTTGGAGACTTGGTGGAGCCACGGGTTGAGCCGGCCTTGAGAGACCTAAGATACTAGGGCAGCGAATATTTTAATTGGGTTTAGGGTTTAGGGCGTGGGAGGATTATTAGATGCAGTTGAGCAGCCGTGCCCGGGTGACATAGTTATTCATGACAACATCATTCTTTGTACAGTCCACGTAGATCTGTAGAAGCGAATCGTTGAAAGTCCTGGGGTAGCATAAGCAGTGCATTGCACTCACACCTAGCTACATGCAATCTATTTTTCCAAGGTGCTTGTCCACCTTACACGATATCGAGTCCGTCTGCTTGGTTGTCAGCTTCTTGTAGTTCTCCTTCAGCGTGGCGAGGATCTCGCGGATCGAGGTGGCAAGCCTGGCCAAGGTCCGGGGATTTAGGGTTTAGGGCTCGGGCTTCAGGGTTCAGGGTTTGGGGGAAGAGAAACAGAGATCGGGAGGGAAAGGCGAGAAATAGACAGAACATATAGAGAGAGAGACAGAGAGACAGGGAGGGAGGGAGAGAGAGAGAGAGAGAGAGAGAGAGAGAGTGAGAAAGAGAGGCAGTGGAGAATGAGCAAGAGAGATTAAAGAAAGAGAGATAGAGAGAGAGAGGAAAAGACAGAGAGAGAGGGAGAGGGAGAGGCAGAGAGAGAGAGGGGGAGTGTGAGAGACAGAACTGCCCAGAAGGAGCGAGTTGGAGACACAGGAACCCGATAAGAGATATATTTAGGTCAACACAGGAAACCCAAGACCTCGGTGAATACTAGATAAGAGATATATTTAGGTCAACTCAGGAAACCCAAGACCTCGGTGAATACTAGACGAGACCCAAACCAAAAGGTGCTGGGGATCGCATATATATATATATATATATGTGTATATATGTATATATGTATATGTATATGTATATGTATACGTATACGTATGTATATATATATATATATATATATGTATACATGTATATATATATATATATATATATACATAGACTGACTTCGAAGATCGAGCTGCTCTGTTGCACGGGCGTGCTTGTTCTCGGCCAGTTTGTCCTGTGTATGCACAAAGCGGTTCTACTAGTGTACTGGCACCATAACTGCATGCATGTGTTGAAGAGCACAGCTCCAGCTGGTCGGAGCAGGCATCAATCTTCTTGCCCAAGACCTCTAGGAAAGCCGGGAGCAAACCCAAAGCAGACTGGTTCTGCTGCAGGGTCGGGAAGGTCAACCTTGGAATCATCAAGGCCGGTGAGTCTGGATTTGATTGTGCAGTCTCTTACAACATGTGCTTGTTGGCACTAGCTTGTGTCGGCCTAGGAGCTTGAAGCTTGCGGTTGCAGTACTGCTCACGGGGGTATTGGAAGAGGAAGGAGCAGCACTCGAAGAAGCAGCCATCCCGCCTAGGATGGTCTCTGGCGGGCCATCCATAGAAGGTGTGCCATTCTTCAGGAGGAATCCCGAGTCATCCTGCAACACTGGTATAGTTCTAGATGACAGCTTGTTGCAAAAATTCAGGACTCGGGGCTCTCAGGTTGGTAGGATCCATGAGGAAGGCTCGGGAGTAGACTAGTGCTTGCGTGGGATTCAGGAGTAAGGCTCGAGAGTAGGGTGATATCAGGGTTATACAGGCTCGTCGGGAAGCCCCACCTCTAGCTCAAAGGCCCCGCTCATGTTGATCTCCTCACCCGACTCGTCAACCAACTGATAGGTTTCATTCAATATGAGGAGGGCTTCTTCATCTTGGTGGATAGCATTCGTCCTCAACCGGTTGTTCAACTGTGCCCATTGAAAGGCACAATCGGTCATCTTCCTTATCATGCAGAACCACAAAGGCCGGAATGATATGCAGATGCTAGCATGCAGTGTACACACACGATTGAGTTCATGGCTTGGTCCACGCACAGATCGTCATCAGATGGCTTCGGGTGTACCATCCAGCTTCAATTTTCTTCAAGTGAAGCTTTCGATGAAATTTCTTGGCATGGACTTCAACCGTCTTGAAGTCCCCATGCTTGAGCAACAAGTTACGAAGGGCCTCTCCTAGGATTCACATGAAGCACTCAAGGTTAGTATGCATCATATGCACAAGTCCAGTTGTCAATACTTGAGACTATAGAGCAAAGCCAGGGCACTGCCAGTTTCGCTTTTGTAGAGTTCCAGGGCTTCCGGGCTGCACTTTAAGGAGCCGTCCTTTTTTGGAGTAAAGTATCTGTACATCCTGAGATAGGCACAGTTCTGGGCAAGCACTTGTTGGAGGCTGCAGGTACATCATACTGCGTACAGGAAACCTCCAATATGTAGGGCACTTGCTGCGTGGGCGGATCGTGCTTGCCGGAGAGCTAGATGAGTCGTGGTCGTCCGGCTTGGAACTCAAGACACTGGCATTCCTCTTTATGCCTTTGGTTGGGCTTGGGGTCGCACACGGATCTGGGCCTTTGGCTGGGCTTGGGGCTGCATTCAGAGCTGTGCTTTTGGCTGGGCTTGCGGCTTTACTCGAAACTTTGTCCGGGCTGGGTGCATGGTGCACAGGTGGCGGTGTGTGCAGCGAATCCGATTGTCGATCCTGGGACGACACTTGCATGCCTGCAGCAGGGTTCGGTGGGGCTGGGGCATCACTCGAGTTGGTCAAACCTAGGCTTTGGGAGGTTTCGGTCGTCGTGATCGAACCATTGCCGAGTTGGGTCTGCAACACAGTTGCAGGCAGGCTCTGCACAGCATTGCCCGTGATCATAGGCTCGGCCGTCGTTGCCAAGATCGGAGCACCTGCATATTGGTATTGATTAATCTTATTGTTAAGTTAAGTATATATTGTAAATATTTATGATCGGCACCAAGGTCTGTGTGCTACCTTCCTTGGACTATATATGCATGCTACCTATGCCAGCTTTTTTCTAAGACTGTTTAGGCTGGGTTTACGGCTCAGGGTTTAGGGCCAGCTTAGGGTTAGCCTGCAACAGCTGCTGGAGGTACAACAGCATCTCCTTCTCCTCCACTTTGAGCAGCCAGTTGGGCTTGGAGCTTGGCAATTCGTTCTTGCGAAGCCTGGGATGTGGTAAGGATGGGAATTGTATATACTTGCAAAGCTAGCTAGATGTGCAGATGTGAAGCACGAATCATTGCGGCAATATCCATGGTTGCTTGCGGTTCCCCGGTAGAGTTCGTACTCACGAGGTTCAGCCCGGCAAACAGGGTGGAACAGGACCACAGCCTAGAAGGTCCAGATGTCATCACACTATCACGGATCCTAGATATAAATGCAACGGCAGGCACGAACCATCACAGGTGTATATAATCTGCACATGCTAGTGGCACACAAGGACCTTGGGTCAGCAAGTGATAGTAAATACTTTTCACACAGACCAGGCAGAAATGTTCCTGTGTGTACAGCACCAGCCCTATCTGTACAAGCTGTGCAACTTTGCTCTGAATTGGCGCCTTAAGGCACAAATTTGTGGTTTGGTGGGTCGCCTCGGCACACTAATTATAATTGCGCCCGGGATGTGGGGATTTGCGCCCGGGATGTGGGGATTTGCGCCCGGATTGCGGGCACCCGTTTCTGCTATTCTACCATAAAATCGCTTTAAAGCTAAAAAGCACCCACCAACGCCTTTACAGAAGACATTTGGGCCCAGGACGACCACCGGCCACCAGGCAACCGGCTCCAGAGAGGGCTCGAGAGGAGGGTTTAGGCTTGTAGGGTTCGGGCCTGGGAAAGCTCAGGATTCCAAGGGTTGCGGGTGTTGCGGGTGTTAGGGCGGGTTGCTGGGATTGCGGGTTGCGGGTAAGATGGCTCAGGGATTGTGGGTTGCGGGGTTTGTGGGTCCCTAGGTTTATAGGTCCTACAGAGGTTCTTCTGTGTAACTAGTAGCCTAGGAAACAGCACCAACCCGGTACCGACACTTCGTCCCGAACTTGTTGAGCACAGAGCTACTTGCATGTGCCGACAGCCATATGTACTGCTAGCCATATACGATGCAGTGCCTACTGGCACCTTCTACGTTTTCTGCACTCAGTCACACCGGTAGTTGCCTGCACTGAGAAGAGCTCTCGGCGGAGGTTGTCAGATCCCAACACCTTGGCTTCGAGTTGAGGGACAGCACTACTGCAGTTATGGGTGTCGGGAATGTACAGGAGCTTCACATCTGGAGTTTCAGTCCGGCAGCAACACAGCAGGGGAACCTACATGACTTTATACATATATTATTTATGATTCCTAGCTGGGTCTATATGTCGTGATAGATCATCAATGCCTGCAGGGGGCTTTCCCACGAAGCTCGGTGCGGTAGTCTGCCATCACGGGTTGCCAGGAGTCTGGAATCCTTCGGAGTGCAAACATGTTGGCAGTTCGATTCATGCTTACTCCCACCACTGCTGCTAGCTGATCACACAAGTCAAGGTACACAAGTCTTGTGCCACGGTAGAGGTATTCAAAAACCTCGTGCATCCCACTCTCGGCCCACTCATCTTCACTCTGCAGACCTTGAAAGATCTCTTTGTCCGACAAGGACAAGTCTACAACTTGCCGCCCTCGAAGATCGGCACGATCGTCAGCAGGCCGGGCAAGCCAGGAAGCGTAGGCCTTCAGCAGGTTCTTGCCGAACGTGGCGGTGTAGACCCTCACTGCACTCACATATGTGTGGGCCTATTCACTGCATTGCAAGTAGAGCGAAACACTATATGCTGCATAGCCACCCTGATTCCTGTAGTTGTTTCGAACCAGTGAATTTAGCTTTGCCGGCAGCATCCCGAAATCTTCCTTAGTTGTGCAGACACACACTATATAGGCTTTCTAGGTGATCGTTAATAGCAGCAGGTTCCTTCGAATTCTTGGATATGAAATGCAACCAATGCACGGGCGGTGGTGATTGTGCTGCACTGCAGGCGCTTTTCTTTTGTCAGCTTACCGAGGTCTAATTCCCCAACAGTAGACATTGTGCTGCAAAGCACCGTCCTCTTTGGTGATGGTGCACCATGTAGCATCATCCATAGACTCACCCGATATACCTGGGCAAGCAGGACTTTCGGCTTAGGGTTTAGGTTTAGGAAGCTTGTAAGTTTGGGTTTAGGCCCGGGTTTTGTTGCAGCTAGGGTTACGATTTTGGGGGTTTAGGTTTAGGCTTTAGGTTTCGGGCTTATATATACAGCCGCAATAGCAAAGGACCTCGCAAGGTTTACAGCTTAGGGTCCAGGGTTGCGGGTGTACAAGCAGCGACTAGCTCCATGGAGAACCTAGGCAGAACCCCAGAAACCCCTTTCAAATTATATATATATATATATATATATATATATATTTTTTTTTATTTATTATTATTATTATTATATTCATATTATATATATTACTACCTATCTATCATTAACTATATTATTGAACCAGGGCTCCCTGGCTACGGTACTCGTTAACCATTCCCATCGAGGCTGTCGGAACAGTAGTGATTGAGCCGGCTGTTCCAAGCAGAATGTTCCATGGACACTCAGGCACACCAATATCAGACACACGGTCCTTAGCTCGATGCAGTATCCCACTCCTATAACCCAAGAAACATGTGCATGCATAGATCAACAAAGCTAGTCTAGAAATCTAATTGAATCCCGGGTTCCGACTGACCATTGCAAAACCTTTCTCCACCCACAATTTGGCCATATCTCCCCGGACATTGATAAAGTTCCGCTTGCTTGAAAAGCGTGAACACACAGACCAACTGGAGCAATCAGTCCCGACCAGCATCAGACCATCAGGAGCCAAGTTTAGCACCATCCACAAGGCTAGCCTCGGTAGACCATCAAGAAGGGCCCAAGCAGGGGCGGTATGTATCCCATGTGCACAAATATTGTATAGAACTCGAGCAAATGTCGGCAAGTATCGCCATGCCACCATTCTTGAGGAAGTCCATTTCGGTACCATACAGAATGTCAAAAGATGCTGTTTTGTAGCCAGCCTCGTGCCTCATCAATTGCCCGGCTAGAGCATACCGTACACACTAGACCGAATTACAAACAAGCTCTTCATGTGCAGAATAAGCACCCGACCAGGCTTGGGTGACATGCCCCTTTCCACTAAAGATCTCTAGGAACTGAAACCCGGTGTCGAAGTCGAGGCCTTGGGTCCACCGAAGAAGAAGCACCTGGGAGAGGCCAATCTAGATATAGGGTACCCAGGTGGGGTTTGTTTCAGACAATCTAAGCTTGTAGCCGTTGCTATCAGGACCTAGGCAGATGTACTGTTGGAGCACATCATGCAGTGCAGGTTCACAAGAAAGTACCAGAGGGATCAATTCTGAGACCCAGTCTTTCGGCGCTCTAAGTTGGGCCAAATTGACCACCAGCGACCCAGCTGAGTTTGGCATGGCACTCAAGGGTTCAGATAGATGGTTACCAGGCAAAGCTCAATCGATCCGTAACATGGCAGAATCTGTCAGCATGCAATGCAAGAGTTCAGCCCTGATCTGCAAGTGCATGCTCGGAGTTGTGCGGGAGGGGGGTCGCACCTTTGATGGAGGACCTCACGGCCCATCCTTCCACACGTTCTCGGCCACGAGGCATCCTGGCGTGTGGTTCATGCATGATCATGCAAATCTGCACAAGTTACCAAATGTCGTCAACAAGTGAAAGGTGGCAACTGCTAGTAGGTGCACGATCAGTGATCAGATCAGAAGCGGCTGCACTGAACAAACCTTTTGGCTCTCCTTGACACTGAGCAGCCCCGTCGGAAGTCGGACTTGGAACTCACGGCGTGTTCTCACACCCCAATCACTATGATGCTATAGGCGTGTTCACACACCAAAATCACCGATGCCCATACGACACCGGCTCCCCTACCCCACACAAACAGATGTCGAGTTTGTGTAAAACCCTGCTTGTTCAAGCACCATCACATCAGCTGCAACATGCAATCAGTAGCAGCGGCTTTGTCGCCAGATGATATCAATCCTGAGCCTTGTAAGCCTCAGATGCTGACAGAGCTGGTGTAGAATGTAGCTTTCACATGCAACATATATACATTCGCACAAACAAGCACGACACTAGGGACCACAACACACATTCACATGCACAGTGCCCAAGAAATTTGCTAATTGCAATAGGAAAAACAGCCTGGGCAATCAGCTTAGCCTCCTCCTCGGTCTTTCCCTCTTCAAGGGCTGCTTTGCGGGCATGGTGATATGCAGCACTTTTCCTGCTTTTCGCTTGCTTCTGCTCCGTGGTCAGCTTGGCTTGCTTCGGCTTCGGGGCCCCCTCATCCTTGTCTGCATCCTCCGTGTGCCCCTTGGCTGCTCCTTTTGCCTTGGTCTTCGCTTTGGCTTTTGCTGTTGCTTTCTCCACCTTGTCATTGCCCTTTGCTGCTGCTCTTGCTTTTGCTTTGGCCTTGGCCTTGCATTTGGCCTTGCACTTGGCTTCCTTGGCCTTGGCCGATGCCTTGGCACCGGCTTTGGCTCTCGGCCGCCCCTTGTTATTCTTCTTAGCAGATCTCTTGCCACCGGGCGGGCAGTCGGAGCTTGCTCTTGCATCCGGATCATAGTACTCCGTGGCGTCGTCAGGCCCTGACTCATTGTCACCAGGCTCCATAAGCGTATCCCGGTCCTCAGCCTCGGATGGGGCACTTGCCTTCGCCTTTGTCTTACCCTTCGATTTCTTCAGCACCTTGCGGCCACCGTGGCGCTTGCCCTTCCCCCGGCCCTTGCCCCTTCCTTTGCCCTTTCCCTTTCGCCCACCACGCTTTTTCTTGGGGGCAACAGTGTCCTCAACCTCAGCATCCGGCAATGCTCTGAGACCTGCCGACTGCTGCTCGGGAGAGATGAACTCCATGTTGGAAGGGTCCATGGGGCAGTCTTCCAACAGCATGGTCCCGGGTGCCTTGGTTAGATGCGAGCTTGCTAGAACACACAACTCCCACAAGCAAGAAAGCCAAAACTTACCCAGACCCAAATCCACACAACTATCATGCAGGCAGCGATACACTGGCTTCGGCTTCGATGTTTGCGGGAGGGGCAGCAGGCTCGGACACGAGAGGGTCACAGGTCAATGCAGCCGCAACATCAGCCGCTGAAATCTCTGCCTTTCTCTCAATCAGTCTTGACTCGCTTTCATCAGAGCCCTTTGTTGCACATACCAGCGGCTCTGGAAGGGCAAAGTCAAGACCCATAATATCCATAGGGCACGTGTCCACAGCATCCATGCCTCAGCTTCTAAACTCCATTCGACCCAAAGCACCCTGACCGACACAGCCCCATGTTGGTATATGAACATGCACACACATACTGCTGCATTTCACCATGACCGACAAGTGGCATGCTGGTGGCATTTCCACATCACATGGAAGGTTGTGCGCCTGGGCCTGCTTGGCCCGGACCTGGGCCTGCTTGGCCTCGACCTGGCCCTGCATCTGGGCAAGAAGGCCTTCCAAATGCTGTTGCTCCACCATGAGTGTCTGAAGCGTGTTGAGCCTCTCCAGCTCTGCTTGCTCCAATTGCAATGCAGCTGCAATCTCTGCGTCAGCTGTGATACAGGGCTTTGCAGCTTCAAGCTTCAAAGGTGGAGGTGCAGAGGTGGGTTCAGGCTTGGCTTTCTTCCACGTAGGGCCGGCAGGACAGTTCTCTAGCTTGAACACACCAATGTCCATATGACTGCGATTGCAATTCAAACACAGGTACCCAAGCTTCGTGTCCTTGACCGTGTAGTGTAAGCCCCAGGACTTGTAAAGGGATTGTGGCGATTTCGGCGACTCGGGCTCATGACCTGATTGCCACCCAGCAGCAAACTGCTTATCTTGTACATGAACCCAAACCAGCACGTCCCAATCCTAATGCGTGCAGCTCGCGAGTCTTGGGCGAAGGTGTCACGATCTCCGTTGCAGAAGTCTCGGAAGAGGCTGCGGCACCTAGCATTCGGAGACTTTGGGCCGGTATAGTATTGCAGCTTGTAGGTAACTGCATGCATAACCAATATAAGTACTTGTAGCCAAGAGACCAGCAAGATTCAGGACCCGAGGCTCAATAGGAAGTTCGAGGGGCGGGGGCGGCAGCTTTTGCATCGACAATGTCATGGCCTAGGTGCAACAGGACCATGCAATACCTTGGGATGTGTGTTTTCTCGAAAAGCCAGAAGCTAGGGTTTTAATCATGTTGTAGATTAAATCACTGCAACCCCAGGCACTTTCTCCAGGTCAGAATCCACATCGTCATCATCTTTAACATCATCTGCTTCCATTGCAGCATCTGCTGCAGCTGGTGCACCCCTCACACCACCATCACCTTCATTCTCAGATTCTTCATCAGACTCGTCGTCCTCGGTCGAGTCCGAGTCATCGGAGCTGGTGGAGCCATCGTCAGCTCCTGCAATGCACGACATCATCTGAGCTAAGTTACCACTGCTACCACGTAAGCGTTCAGGCATAAGCACTACATAGTCTCCTGCAGGGAGTTGGATTCCGGCAGCAGCAAAGAGTTGGCGAAAGCGTGGATTGCGAGGAGTATGTGGTCTCTTGGCGGCTCTAGAGAACACGCTCACAAGCCTGCGTAGAATCCATGCTTCGGTTTTGAGGTCGCAGCCTGCGGAAGCATTCAAGGTGAGGACCAATGCAAAAGGTTAGTAAGCCCGACCAAGCTGGTCACATCATGATGTTTAGCATGCAAACAAGTCTCGGGGTGGCATGGGCCTAGAGATTGGCCGGTACCCACTGTAGAACCGGACCAAGTACTCCAAGCATAGGTCGACGGTTGGTCGCATGCCTCAGCTATCTAGTATTTATACAAGAATTTCAGGCCAATTCTGGGGCGCACAGATATTGCCTGCAAAATGATTGAGTAACAAGGTACCATGTTCCTTCATCAGAGGCCCAAGGAGGACCGAGTTGGCGACAACAGCTTCGCGGTTCAAAGACTTTGTAATCACCAAAACCGAGCCAGATCCCGTGGCAAGTCGAGTCATGACTTCTTCACTGGAGCCCCAAGCCCAGAGCACAGGATCCATCGTCACAGGCGCAGGCACCGGCGAAGCTGGTGCATCAGATGCCATAATTGCGAGCAGCTACTTATACAAACTTTACGTGATGTTCCCTTGCAAAAGACCAGGATAGGGACAAACACTTGCATGTACAGCATGCTAGCTAGAATCCCTATGCACGAACGTTGCACTTCACATTTGATGATCTTGATGGTTGCTGTCGGCATCACAATGCATTCACATACACATGCACTTGGAATGCAAGCACCCTGCAAGCACTTACCGGTAATGACACACCACAGCACCGTAAGCGTGACAGCCCCACCAACCGATGGAAAGCACCACGAGCCCGGCCAAAATCGAGCACAAGTACCTGCCACAGCTCAGGTACAGTGCAGCTCATCACGATCCCGGCCAGCTGCAGCAAAAGCCCAGCAAGCAAGCACACAGACCAGCGGGGGGGGCGCACTTCATGAAGTCGAAGGTTTCGGTATCGTGATATTTAAGCCAAAATGGCTTCTCGAAGTCAGCATACGAAGCCCACACCCTCAAAACCAAGAAGCGCTCGAATATTTTAAGAAGTAGCCGCAAAGCAGGAAAGAGTAACAAAGACCAATAAAGTATGCCAAACAGCCTTCGGGCACTATTAAGTAGCACGAATAGCACTACAGGCATTATCAACCTACACTATACCTTTAAGATTTGCATACATACTATATAGTTTTGTATATGTACATATGAACTCTTGAGGAAAGCAGCTCGGGACTCGGACCCAGTCTTGAGTCTTCGTATCCCGTGGGAAAACAGCTTCTTCAGTCCTTCTGCATCCATGTTCATGACGACAGCATCCGCCGGCAAATCCATATCCCGTCTGAAGCGAGTCACCTGCATTATACGAGGGTGCGAATCACTGAAGGCATTTTTAATCAAAATTCTTCAACTTGCCAGCCTCCCTCCTCATTAACTCAATGGGGACAGTGCAGCAGTGCTGGGTGGTCGGACAAAACCACTCTGCGATGACCTCCAAAATCCTCGTGTTACACCCCATAGCTTTAACACTCGGCACACCGGTGGCTTGCAAGCTGGGCCATCTGGAAATGTAGCCCTTCTCACGGGCTCGGCGGCGAATCGTGATTTCCGCCTCCAGGAGCCCTGCAAGGGTGCCAACTGGAGGCCAGTTGCTTCTCGGGGCTCGCACAGATTCTGTGGAGCTCTCATTCGCCGAACCATCCTCCATCTCTACCAAGGACTCTGCAGACATAGCCCAGGCTAGTCTATGTTCACCACGGAGCTTCAAAGCAGGCCGAAAACTGGAACCCAAATCGCGGCACATGAAGATAGAGCATGGATACACAAATCACTCCCGAACTTAAGGCATCGGAAACATGAAGCTCCCGATTCCCGAAAGCGCCTGCTCCTCCAATAAGAAGCACTGCCAAGCCCAGCCACCGGAATGCAAATGTACCTGCGATCGCAGGACAAAACGGCGGCTGAGCTATGCGTGCGAAGCTTTCGATTGCTTGATTGACGGGCCGCCAGTCGGTCTTGAATTCCGAAATAGACCCTAAACACCTCGACCTTAAATAGAGGTAGACCCTAAACACCTCGACCTTAAATAGGGGCACTTCTGCGGTTTGCACAGTCGCAGCGGCACATGGGTCAGACATACATGGCACATCTATACATGTCTAACATTCCAAGTGAATTGGGATTTGCAAGTTGGATGAAGTCTGACCTGAATTAGGGATACGGGCATCTTATATAGAACTATGTTACCTATATAATATATACATATATATATATATGTTATATAACATTATAAGGATGTATGGGATTCAGTATCATGTGGGGTGCATTGTCCTATATAGGTACATATGGTATATGTTAACACTATGATTTCTGGAGCAAGCAGCTTTCACCATGAGCTCAGAAGCGGTCCTTCGGAGAAAAGGACATCAGAGCCAGCTCGCGATCGATCCGAGCAACCTCGGCCTTGTGTGTCCCATGTACCCATGCCTCAACTGGGCCTGATCCCGAAATCCTGCAAACTGTAAAAACAGTTCACGAACTGAAGTTTCAGTGCACGATATGAATAAACGCTTATTCACCGAACAACTAAAATTTAAGGCCGTGCGGAAGGTCCAGGTAAACCTTCAGGAATCCTTACGACCAGTAATCCCTTTTTGGTCGGGACTAGACTTCATCCCAAAACCCTATTCTCACTATGAAGGCCCCCTGCAGTCTCGAAGCCCTAGAAAAAAACCCAAAAGCAGTCGCAACGGAGGGGCCCACCGGCCGATGTCGGAAGTTCGACTTGCGAGCCTCCGGCACTGGGTAGTAGTTCCTGCGCCCAACTTTACGACCTAAACCCTAAACCCCAACCCCCTAAACCCTAAACCGATGTACTCCAGAGCAACCTTCAAGTCCGGTGTTCAGGCTGGTAGGGGGTGGGGTTTAGAGGTTTTAGAGCTTGGGGTCTAGCGGTTGCCGGTTTAGGGCTTAGGCTAGGGTTTAGGATTGGGGGTTACTTGGGTTTGGCTTTTCGTCGTTACCATGCTCCAATGTCTAGGGTAGCTTCTAGGGTTTGGGGTTTAGGCACGGCTGTTTCAGGGCTTAGGGTTTCGGGAACTGCTGTGAAGCCGAAAGTGCCCATAACCATAATATCGGATACCCCCGACTCCAAACGGTTTACTGAAAAGCGCTCGTAAGTACAGCCCTCCAAGCCCCGATACAGAGATCACATCATGTGAGTATATAAATCTATACTTTCACAATATAGACGTGGACAAACGCGTCCCTATGGCCTTCCTAGTCTTGAGGTTTCGTAGGATGCCGAACTTGGATGTAGGAATTTGGGTCGGAGTCTCGGCTTCCTTGAACTGACTCTTTGGGAAGATCCTGAGCTACAGAATTGAGAAATAAGAGGGCTTCGGGGTTTAGTATTTAGGGCTTTCGTTTAAGGTTTAGGGTTTTGGGTTCAATAGAGTTGCCTTGATGATCCAAGACAAGGTTTGTTTTAGAGAAAATGGCACGCGACTACCCAGGATCTTCGTACCCATGTTTCCCACCCCCAATTTCAATGTAGTAAGTAAGAGTATGCGGTGCCCTAACATTCGGGCTGTTGGGGGGTGTAGGTCTGGGTGTACTCAGTGCTTGTTGATTTTGGGCTTGGGTGTGCGCCTTTCGGGCTTTACACAGGGTCAGTGGTCTTTGGGCTTTATGGTGCTGTCTTGGAGTTTACGGTGTTGGGTGGCAAGACAGAGGGCCTGGGGACCTCAATAAACCCAGACCCTAAACCCGCCTTCCTAGATCCCTGGGAGAAACCTCTGCTCTCCTAAACCTCGGATCCTAAAACCGTTCACCTCTCTCTGTCTCTCGCCTGCGGAAAGTCCGGGGCGAAGCATGCATGGCCAACAGCTCCATCCCTCAATCCCTAAAACCTAGACACCGAAAGCAGGGCGCTAGAATCCAGGGCACTGCAGGTCCTGTCGATGACCTTGTTGAGGTTCCGAGTCACGACTTTCGTCACCTTGAGTTCGTTGGAAAGCGTCTAGGGTTCAGTCTAGGGTCTGGGGTTCATACAGTGCAAGGCATGAGATCTGGCACCTCTTGAACTGTAGGCTTGCGGCCTGGGGGCATGCAAAATCCTAAAGACTGCACCAGAAACCCTTAATCCCCTAACCCTTACAACCCCCCAAACCCCCAACCCGCGAACCCTAAACCTTCAAAACCCACAACCCCCTAAACCGAAAATCACGAAAACCACAACCCCTAAACCCTGAACTGTGAGACTTTTCGTCTCGAGTTTCACAGTTTCGGGTCCAGGATTTCCCAGCTTGCGACTTCCATCAATGTAGGGGCCTCAATAACTAGAATGGGGTTTGGGGGTTCATTGAATCAACCAAAGCCCCCCCCCGGTGTCGTGTTCAGCAAAAGCAGAGTCCTCTCCGCATTTAAACCCTAAACCCTAAAACCAGCGACCTCGTACAGCTGCTGGAAGTCGTAGCTGGAACCTCGAGTGGTTTTGGAGATTTAGGCTTTAGGGTTATGGTTTAGGGTAGGGTTTAAGGTTTAGGATTCAGGGTTTCAAGGTTCAGGGAGGAGGGCTCAGGTGCAATTCATGTGTATGGGGGTTAGCGGTCCCCTCAACTTTTGATTTGTAGATGTTCCCAAGCAGCGTAGGACAAATCTAAAGGTATCTCAAGTTGCCACCTGGCACTCCGCGATCCGAAGCTGGGACTTGGGGCTTTTTCGCTCTGCCAGATTCTCGACGTCTAGACACTAAGGAACGGCTTGGGTAATGATTCTGGGCCCCTAGATTAGGTGCTGTAACCATGCCCCAGCTCCGAGCTTCAAGTCGGGAGCCCGAAAAACCTAAACTACAAAGCCAAACGTCTTGGAGTTTTGGGTTTTGATGTAGGGTTTCGGGTGTCAGGATTAGGGATTCGGGTATAAGGCTAAGAGCTTTAGGGAAGATTCTTCGGCTTCGCCTGTCCTCTGCCTCTGGGTTCGGCTGAGGGGTGCGAGGTGTATACCTGTGCGGACCAACAATCGCAGGGTTAAGGACACGCTGTGTCTGCATCGCGATCCCTAAAACCCCGACCAACTCTAAACCGTAGCCCTTGCAGCCAAAGGCTCCAGAATCTCGATCCGAACCCCTCAATCCTAAACCCTCAACTCTAAACTGCCCAGAGGCCCCATAGTAGTTCCTTTTGGGGAATACCCTATAGGATTCTATATATGAACCCCCAAAAGGAAGTACTTTGTGGCCTTTGGGTAGAAATCCCCAACGTCCTAGGCCTCAAGGCTATCTCTGAGCACCAAGCCCTCAATCGAACACTCTTGCCACCAGACCTAATCCTTACAGCCTACACCCGAAACCTTAAGTCCCAAATCCCTCTTTTCTCCCTTACCTTAAAACTCCAAAGATCTCATCATCCCTAAACTCTATAAATCCTAAACTCCGAAACCACAAAGCCCAACCCTAAACTCTAAACCGGCCTCCATCAGCCACAAAGGCCGGCAAAGAGATCGAGGCCAAGTTGCATACCGCGACCTGCGTCTTGGGGCTTCGGGATTTGGGGTTTCGGATTAAGACACGCAAAGTAGGATTATAGGGCTGTAGGAGTTTAGGGCTTTGGTGTTTCGGATATTCAGACACACAAAGTAGGATTTAGGGGTTTAGGAGTTTCGGGTTTGGGGCTTCAGGCTTGGCGATGACGATTCCGGAAAGAGCTTTGGTTCATGCGGAAGCAATCCATCTTGGCCCGGCCGTCCCGAACATCTTTGGTCACTGCGCAATCCGCGCTCACCGCATGCTTCCTCTCTTTTGCAGCCTAGTTGGTGCTTCTTGTTGCACAGGCCCTTGGAACAACCTCCTGCAGGAGGTTTAGGCCTCCTTCAACCCGAAAGTGCAATTACCATAAGGGGCCTCCATAGTTGCAATAGAGTCTTGGGGTGTATTGCACGGTAAGGAACCCCAAAAAGGGTAGTGGTACTTGTTCAGTTCCCTATATTAGGAGGCTCCGGGTTCAGAGTGATCTCTGATGATCCGAACTATGGGGGGGGTTGAGAGTTTAGGGTTCAGGGTTTAGGGTTTTTTTTTTAAGTGTTTAGGGTTAGGGTTTAGGGTTAGGGTTTAGCGTTTAGGGTTTAAGGTTCACTACAGTTTGGAAGCTCGGGGCACTGGCTAAACAGGCGTTTTCGGAGCAGTAGCCTTACAGCCAACCTCGGCAACCCTATATGCACTGCCTTCCTACGGTTGATGATATGAATCCTGCATTACCTTAAGGACCCTAAACTATGGGAATTATGGTATATTCCTTATTATGTGTAATGCAGGATTTATATCATCAACCGTACCAGCCCAACCTGATTCACACATGACACACCCTTCTGTAAAACACTGCGCCTCGTCTGCGGCGGTGTACCTGGATCTTTGAGGGGAAGGAGAAATCATTGAGGCCCAGGCTCCTCCCCTCCCATAGCTGTTGTAGCTGTAAGGCAGCGGTGCATCCTAAACTGGACCCTAAACCCCATGAAATTGCGGCTAAAGCTTCAAATGTCACTGCGGCTAGTCCTGGATTCAGGCTCCACCTGCCTTCAAACATAGGCGGAATGACATCAAAGTTGGGGTTTGGTGGCTTGGGGTTTAGGGCTCCGGGCATGTTGATGAAGGGCTTTAGGGCGCAAGCTCAGCAAGGAGCATAACGAAACTGCCACAGGCTAGGCCTGAGGTGCCGAATTTCAGATACCGTGAGTTTGCGATTTAACATGACCCTAACCCATTATGGTTCCAAACAGGAAGCCGGAACTCAAGGCTTCTCTGGAAGGACATTATGCCTCGGAGGTCAAAGCAGAGCCACACCGTCTCCAAACCGCCAAAGCCGTCGAAAATTGTGAGAAGCACCCCCTTTGGGTCTCCTTGCAAGAGAGAGTTGCTCGATGATCTCAGTGCAGAGGTTCGAGCAATGGATGGTGCCAAGGTTCTGCTGGTTCCTCGGGTACCATCGAAAGCTTCTCCGCAGAAGAGAGTTAAGGACTTAGGGCACGTCAATTGATGCGGAAATAAAGAATACATAAAACGTATATATATATATATATATATATATATGTATATATATATATATATATATATATATATCTATCTATATCTATATATAAACAGATATACATATGTCATGTAGATACTTTCTTTATGTGTATGTATATATATATATAGAGAGAGAGAGAGAGAGAGAGACAAAGAGATCGAGGCTTTTAGGTTTCAGGGATTAGGGTGAGTAGGGTTTTGCAGGGATCAAAGGTCGAGGGATCACGGGCACCCCGGGTTTGCGGAGTCACCAACTTGTGGTCTAGGACTTGGAATAGGTTTTTTTTAGTGCATAGGGTTTAGGCTTTAGGGATGTTCTGGGCTTGTGACGGTGGGTTGGGGCTTAGAAGCTTTAAGGTGCTTCAAGAAGTACCTTACCATCTCAGGATCCCAGAATCGACTTTCTGTTCGCCTGATCCTTGTAGAGCATGTATGGTGTGCCCGTCTCCATCTGCGATTCCAGGATGCGGAACCACCTCGGATTGGGGCACAATGCAGCCATCAGATCTGCGACGTTCGATGTCCAGCTCAACGGTTTGAACCTTCGGGCAGTTGTGTCTACAAGAAATGGCAAAGCACGGAGTTGGGTTTGGATCTATAAGGCTCAGAAGAGGCCTCCGCAGCACGGCACCCTGAAAGAGGCATCCCCAAAACCCCAAAGCATGAAAGCCCTGGCCCTGCAGAGACCCTACCCATAGCTGAAACCGCCTCAGCTAGTGATCCACACCCAAACTGAAAGTACTGAAAACCTGCATTTACTGCATATATATATATATATATACATATATATATATATATATACTCTATCACAGCACGATGTTATGAATCCCGAGCCCCTCTGCATTCCTAACACCCTAAAATCTCGGGAGCACTCACCCTGAGCCCGAAACTCCGCAACCCTAAGCTCTCTACCTTTAATCTGCAACGGCCGCTCCCTAATCCTGATACACTGCATACTCAAGACCCTCTACGCTCTATGCCCCAGCCCCTCTGAACTCTATATACCCTCAACCCTCTATAAACTCCATACCCCAAGCCGCCTAAGCTCTAAACCCTCACCCCCAAACCCTAAACCCTCAACCCTAAACCCTCAACCCTAAACCCTCACCCCTCAAAAGCCCTGAGCTTTGCCAGGAAGTGGCAGGTGCTGGGCCTTCAGCGTCTTCCGTCCCAAGCCCTCGGCTTCGAAGCGGGTGTACATGGCCTGTGCTCAAGGGTAGAAGGAGGGACCCTTAAGAAGGACCCCTAGGTATATACCCTTAATATAGCTTACCCATTAAAGGGCCCATTATAAGGTAGAGGGGACCCTTAATAAGGACCCCTAGGTATATACCCTTAGTATAGCTATTATATACCCATCATATGGCCCATTATAGGGTAGGGGTCCCCATTGAGGGTCCCTCCTTTTCCCGTTTGACTGTGGGATACTAGACCCAAGAGTAACCTAGGAATAAAAAGGGTGCCCTTTTTGGTTTAAAGGGGCTTATAAGGGAACCTGAACCCTAAAAAAGGGAATAAGGGCCTACTCTAAGTCCTAGGATACGAGGCAGGGGGAGATTCTAGGGGCCTGTGGGGCTTAAGGTCGCCCCGGTGCAGGGTCTGGGGTTTAGAGGGAGATTCCAGGCTAAGGGCTTATAAGGGTCCAGGGGGCTAAAGGTAAAGCTTAGGGTTGAGAGGGTTTGGGGTTATTTGGGCCTACCTACAGTCTCGATTGTGGTTGCTTTTGTGGTTTATCCGCGAAAAGGAACTATAATGGAGACTTTTGGTAGGGTGCACATGGCCTCGAACTCGTCTCCCCAGACCTAGGACTCGGCACATTGAGGCTATCGGGCTTCGGGCGTTTGTAAGTTTAAAGGCTTCTTGTGGTTTAGGGCTCAGGGCTCAAAAGAAGTTGAGGGCAAAAGGTCAGAGTGTGTCGGACCTTGGGGGTTGGATGGTTTGGGTATGATCCTTTCGGCTTCATGTTGGTTTGGCTTGGTGCGCTTGCGCTGCAGGGCTTCCTGCTTCGAGGGTGTTTGCACTCTTTTCCCGGCTTCTAGGCTGCAGGAGCCTCTACCATCACTGAGCAACTATCTTTTGGTCTTGAACGCTGTCGGCTTGAGATCGTCAACGGATTATCTGACTTATGCAAGGAAACACGCTCTAAGGCATTCTCAAGTAAGCTTGCTAGGTTCCTCTTGCTGTCTGTATCGCTGGGACAACCAGCACAGCTGCAACTACATCCGTCGTTCAAGCTGATGAGGCTTGTTGGTAAAGATCTGCGTTTTGAGGAAGCTCTTCCAACATCTGAAGCAAACACGAGAAGATACTGCTTTCCTTGAAACTGTGAAACATCAAGCTGGCCTGACAACTCTGTTATTCGTGCCACGCTGAGCGGCAACACAGTTTTGCAAGACATATAGCTGCTAAGCTTTGTGCCGCAACTCGGCGTATGCCGTATGCCGAGGATGAATGCTCAGTGCCGCTAGCCTGTCTTGGCCCTGAGCAGTCTCCAGCTCTGAGCCCAACACAGCCCGTAACAAAACGCAGCAGCCATCAATCTCACCCGAGGCAGGAACATTTAAGGTGAATCCGCGCGCAACACTCCTGACAGCCCGAAAACTCTCTAGCGGAATTTGCCTCTCTTGGGCAACAGTTCGCGGCTGAGAGGCATCCATAAGACCCTTGCCGGTCTTCGTATCGAAGGCCTCGTTGGGACAGAAGAGCGTCCAGTCTGCGTTGTCCTTTCGGGCATGCACGATGCTTCTCATGAGCAGCATTTAAGTGGTCTCAGCTGCGGGGGGCCTTCGCTTTTAAAGTGTGTCCGTGGTATATGCGGATATAAGGCGGGTTCGGATTCAATGGGCAAATCTTTCGCGGCATGGTTGTGTATGTTCTTGGTGCCGGGGTCTTGATTGGAGATTCTGTCGTGTAGGGTTTTTAGGGTTCAGCATTTCGATTGCCAGGCCCCTACTGTCCTGACTCCTAAAGACCGGATCGTAGCGACTACAAATATCCAAACCTTGTGCACGGAGTCGTTCTGGAACCGGGCTAATGTCAGATACTTTTCTTGCAGGGAGCTCACTAGAACACGGTTTATTCTGGCAGAGGCCCTAACACCGGTCCGGGCGTTGAACAAGACTCTCTGATGGGATGTTTCGTTTTGTTCTCAGAGGCCCTGTTCAAGGACTACTGGTTGAATTGAGAATGTCGATCCGACCCGTTTTGTCTTTAGAGGACGTACTGATTGCCCACCGCGACACATACCTTAAATCCAGTTTAATGCTCGTCTAGGCTTTCGCAGAAGATTCATTATTCCGTCTTCTTGATGCTCGCATACTACCACTCGCAGGCCTCGAAGCAGGAGCGAGCAGCATCCCACAAACCCAAAAATTCTACCTGACCCATACAACTGTCCGAAACCCTAGATCGCTGAACTATGCTCAAGCCTGACCCCTATGAGCCCTGAACTTGACGGCTGCATTGTCTCCTTCACGCGCTGCATAAAGAGGTCCGGAATCCAGAGGCCGTAGAAAAGGTCTCGGGCACGCTGTTCCTCCTTCCCGTGGTTCCTGCAGTGCTGTATATGTCGGCTTGCAAAGGCTCCGTATCGGGTTTGTGGGTTAAAGGTTCAGGGCTTTGCTGAACAGCTTTCTGGGCATCTGACTACTTCCGCCACAGCCCATGACTTGCACAGAGGCCCGAGCAGTGTAAGATTCCAGGTGAGGGATAAGCGGAAGAAGAGGGAGAAACAACAACAAGTGAGGGCTTCGGGCTTGGGCTTTTGGGGATCCGAAGATGTGTGCTGTGTGGGGGGCTGTTTCCTATCATGAAGCAGTCATAAGCTACTATTTCGAGGAGCTTGTTTGTTTTTTGAGGGCCCTTTTCCTCCCTGCTACAGTCGGAAGACCTAGAGGAGCTTGGGGGTTTAGGATTTAGGTTTGGGAGGAGGATGCATCATGAACATAAATAACTAAACAAAGCCTAAACCGTCTAAACCTCACGCCGCGCCAACCCAAAACTCAAAAGGCACCTGAAGCCTCTCTTCAACTCCGAAATCCACTCCTAAGTGCCTCGCACTGTTGAAACAAACGCAACAAACATGAAAATTACTAAATCCCTCTCCCATAAAACTAAGCCCCCCAAACCCCAAACGCCCTCAAACACTAATATGTAGGGGCATACCATAAAATAAAATCTAAAGCCCTATTCCAATTGTCAAGGCCCTTACATTACCGCCGGGACTCTTCCGAAGCTCGAGGAAGTCGAGGACGTCAGCGTGCCAGGGTTCCAAGTACATGGCGAAGGAGCCTTTTCGCTTGCCTCCCAGGCTTGTGTTTTTAGGTTTAGGGTTTAGGGGTTGTGGGTTTAGTTAGGGTTTTTAGGCTCAAGATAGGGCCTTAGGGCTTAGACATGAGAGCTCTGAGCCTGAGGAGGTTCAGAGTTTCGGGTTTTGGAGGCTTCAGGCTTTCCATCAATGACTTCTTGGGCAGGAGGGGCGGTGTGTATTTTGAAGGGACTCGTGCAGATAGTTGGGAATAATTAGGCGTCCTGCGCTTGATTGGTTTGGATTTGGGGGTTGGAGGCTTGAACATTTGCGAGAATTTAGTTCAGGCTTTGCGAGCTTCATGTTCGGGGATTCACGTTTCGTGCTTTGTGCGTGAGGGAGTTTAGAGTTCGGGGTTTAGGCTATGCGGTGGTAGAATACTTAGGCTCGAACGCATGCGGAATTTCCAGAAAGGATCATACGGGTGGCTATCAGAAGGAACGTAAGGAGCCCTAAAGGAATGCTGGAAGTAAGTCTGAAGGCTTCCATTTGATTGCGTCGTCTAATCTTGTCCGCCAGACCCACCCCTTGGAGGGTCTAGGCTTAGGGTTTAAGGCTTAACAAAGTACTGCGGGTAGTAGGCGTGAGTTGCCATGATTTCTGCGGTTCCACCCCGCCCATGCAGGGTCTGATTAAGAAGTTTCAGGTTTCTGCAGGGAGGCACCGCACAGAGATCATCATGATGACGGGAACGACGGCGATGCTACGAGTATAGTGTCCACGACTGCTGCGATGCATCTAGATCTGGCACTGGTGCCGCTGCAAAACTTTGCCACTCGTCTTCTGCTTAGCTATACCAGTCAACCTCTCCCCATGCTCTACTGCCAACATGAATGAAGAATGAGCCATATCTGCTTCGATCTTCCCACGGTTTCGTCTCAAGGATCGTGCAGGGTTAGCAATTACGGCTCCGAGTGGGCTGCCTCCACCTTGGTCCACGTAACGAGCAGTCTCGTTGAAGTTCCTGCAAAGAACAAAAAAAGGCATACCGACGGTTCAAGCTTCAAAGTCTGGAGCTGAGGGTTCAGGAACTCGGGCTTATAGACGTTGCAGAGCCGATAGCTTGGAGTGTAGGGATCATTGGGCATTGGACCTGGTTACAGGTCCAGGTCTAGGTTTGAAGCTGCGTAGAGACTTAGCCATAGGGTGCAGCTTCAGGGTTTGGGATGTAAGGTATGGTGACTCTCATGAGACCCCACGGCCCACGACTGCAGCTCAATTGCGAACATCCGACACCTTGCTAAGCAAATGTTATGTTTGTCACAGCACGCAATGCAAACCCAACGCTCCCCAAAGCTCTTACTCGGTTAGAGGGTTCTGGTTCTTGGCTTGCGGCTTAGGGTCGGTGATCTAACTGCGCGGCAAGGGGAGCCAGAGGCTCGATAAAAAAGACATAAACAGATTGCCCCAGAGACATTTCGTTCGACTGCTGCTAAGGCGTCTGCTGTTGCTGCTTCCATGGCTCCTGCTGCACTTGTGAGAATTCTGTCTGATGTCATCGACACCACAGCCGATAGAATACCGGGATATTGCCAACGAGCTCCAGGACACCCTTCTTGATCCCTGTCAAACCCTATTCGAAGCGTATACAGCCATCAGACGACAAACTCCAACATCTTCTGAGAACCCTATGACATGAACAACCTGACGGAATGCTTCTGAAAACCTGACAGAACCGTGTACAACAGTTGGAAAGTTCAGTATCACCGCTTGATCTATCTAGATGCCTTTCTATCGTTCTAAGTCTACTTTAGCTGTAGTAGCCTCGCGGGCTAACAATAGGGCGATAATGTTATGTACCAATGAAACCCAGCCCGAATACAACACCTTAACCCTGAAGCCTACACTGGTTCAGGGTTTTTAGGGTGTGGGGTTTAGGGTTTACCCATTATTAGGCCCCATAGTTGTTCCTTTTGAGATTATCTTATGGGATTCTACATATGAACCCCAAGAAGGAACTACTATGGGGCCTATGGGGAGGGTGCAGGGTTTAGGGCTTAGGGCCTGAAACCCTAAACCCCATGTCAATTCAAGGCAAAGCTCTTGAGCAGCGGGACGAGGCCTCGGTCCGGGAGAAGTGCAGGATTTCGTGGGTTTGGGGCTGAGGGTGTAGAGCTCGGGGTTTCAGATTCTGAGCTGGGATATAGAGTGTGGCTCTCGTTTCGGGAAGTTTAGAGGTTAGGGTCGGGGAAGGGCTTAAAGAGCTGCGTAGAGTTTGAGGATTTGGGTGTTTAACTTGAAGAGTCTTGGGGATTGGGCCGGTTTTGTTGCACCAGTTCTAGATACCGCAATACTAGGAATTCAAGTGTGAAACCCGAAATCAAGGAAGGCAAGTCTGCACTAACACCCTGGACAGCAAACCCTGATAGACCAAGATGCTGTGCAACACCACCCGAAGGCCCCAGTCTCCAACCTTGAAACCTATCGACCTGCACCCTCACGAACCCCCCGGACATTGAAAGCTTTCTTGGAGGGGCTCAGGAGTTTCGTGCTCATGGCTTAGGTAATTAGGGGTTAGGCACAAAACGAAAAACCCCAAAGATAGAGACCCCGACCCCACTTCCGAGACACGCCCACAATGTCAGCACGAAGGCGTGCACAAAATGAGGGGCACCAACGTACAGACACACAAGTGTAGGATCCCTAATTTCAATTCTTAGATAATGTCACTCCCTTCCCCCCTCCCAACAATAAACATAGTAATAGCTAACCCCTGACCCTAAAAACAGTCCCATATCTCCAAGTGGCCGTTACTGTAGCCGTTGGTTCCTCAGTTGCTGAGTTCATAAGCCCGAAAAATTGTAAACGTTCAGCTCTGTAGCGGATCATATACTCCCGACCCCAAACCCTATTCGCTACTAAGGTTCCTCGAATGTAGGAGCCGCTGGCTCGGACGTTGGAGATGGCCACTCCGATGCCGCCGGCGGATTTGGAGATGAGAGCGCACTTCTTCCTCGGATGCATCGGAGGAGCGCCATACATAACAATACTAGTCGGTAATAATGACGTTAGCCATACTTTTGTGCATCTAAAGACGGAAATCATACTAATCATCGTACTTCATACTACTACTAGTCATGATACTAATCGCAAGAATAAGACATTGAAGGTGCAATCTTCGGGATCTCTTTGCTCAAGGCTTGGGGTCTTGTGCCCCTGGTTTGAAGTTCGTAACCTAACTATCGGCGGCAGAGACAAGGACATGCAGAAGACCAGGCGAAGTCTCAATGTGTCATAGATGCCATCGATGCTGTCCTCCTGCATCTTCAGGAGGAAGCAGGAAGACATCTGCGCGTTCGGCGTGCCCGCGTTGAAGAGGGTCGGGCTGGCATGCGTGAAGTACTTCCTGGACATGAGGTCGTAGGTCTCCAAGACGGCCTCCAGGTTACCAGCGTGGATGCCACAGGCGGCGCGCATGAGGAGGTGCTGCGGCCGCTCCACAATTTTGCCTGGGCAGTCCATCACCCCTGTGGTGTTAAAGCGGTGGGTGCAACAAAATTATCGACACAATGATTGCGTGCATATACCGCCTAAAATGGAAGATCTGAAGGGCACCAGTATGCCAAGATGCCGTTCACCTTAAGCAAGTAAGACTTCTCGAGCGTCTTGAAGCCGAAGTAGTCGTAGCCCAGATCCTGAATAAAATCAAAGACCGGAAACTGGACTACCGATGACTACCGTCTGGAGGACATCCCTTACCAGCAAACCCGTGAGAAGGACAGTCGACCATATCATACCCCAACTCAAAAACTCACAAACCCTGAAAGCTAACTAACACCTGAAACATTAATTCCGAGTGCGACAATGGTCAAAACTCTATAAGTCTATAAGCCCTCAACGTAGCCCACCCACACCCATGTCCTGAATGATTACCCGAAGGCCTTTGCACCCAACAGAAGGGCTACAAAGCCCATCAGAAAGTCCTTTAATCAGCACCCTATTGCAGTAAAGTCTCGCGGCTGTAGTCAATGCCCTCATCCAAGCGCTGGGCGTTGGCCTCACGGATTGACGCAAGTGCGAAGGTTTAGGCAACCGGGCTTCGGTAGCGTGAACCAACTTGTGTATGCCGCTGAAGGTTTGGGGCGTTGGTGTCTGGTATAAGCTCCCTGGATGCAGGGCAAGGTCTAAGGCTAAGGTGGTAGTTTCAACAAGACTTCGAAGTGGCCTCTCGATTTTTTGCTATTATCTGCTTCATGTGACTCTTACGTTACTGTTACTTACACTCCTACACTGTGTACACTCTGAAGTTCCAGTCTCGTAGACGCCCCCCAACCGAACAATTACAAACCACCCATGGCCTCAATCTCCCAAACATTTTGAGATCGGATTCAGTTTCTTGCTTTGGCTGTGACCTTGCTGGTCTGCAGGATAACGATGCTGCAAGGTGTAGTGTAGTGTAGAGTTGTGATCCGAGATCTTGCAAAAGACTTCGGTCTTGGCGTTTACACGAGCATAGCGTCTTCTTCTGGCTTGTCTGCCACATCCATTCTTGCCGTGTCTTGAACCTGCGAACCCCCAAAGCATGAAGCGTTGCAAGCCATGTAGGCCAACCTTGCAAAAAAAACTTGCAAGTAACACCGATGAGCTCGCAAGCCAATGCCCAGGCAACATCTAAAGGCTTAGGGCTACGAGGCATGGCATCGGCCTCAATGAACTCCCAAACATCCTGCGAAATCAGCGAAGCTGATCGCCCCTGAGGATCGACATAGCCATGGAGGATGCGACAGGTCTCCTCTGAGAGGTCCGTTTTGCTTCTTGCTCTTAGGGCTTAAGTTTGGGGTTGTAGGATGAGGGCTTCTGTTCTGGGCCGTTCGGGTTTAAAAGAATCAGGTTTTCAACTGGGGCTTCGTGCTTTAGGGTGTATCTTCTAGATTCCGCACAAAAGATCCCAAAGTCCGGAAACAGACGAGCTGTGTTGAAAACCCGAGACCGAAAGCAACTGTGGAAAACCCTTAACATTATAGCCCAGAGTCATAGAAGGACTCCGATGTGTTCTTGTGAAGGTTTGACACAGCGATGCGAGCTGCCAGCGTAGAGAAGTCTGGATGCTTCTGAGACATATACCTTGGATCTGCACTGCAGAGTCTTGGGGTGGCTGTGCTACGGCTGCCATGGGAATAGGACTTCATGAAAAGTCCTCATGAATCCCTTGTGCAGTGGTTTTTGCATGGTATGTACAAGCGCGAAACCGTGATCGCGAGACAACTATATACAGCAACACAGCGAATCCCAGGTACGCGCAGGTCTCCGCAGCCAAGACGTCCACTTCGGAAGTGGAGATCCCGCTGTAAAAGCCTTCGACCACCTTCCTCGTGACAACAACCGGGTCGACAAAGCGCGTATCCAGGCCATCAGTGAGCCGTCGGATGCGCCGCGTGATTGCATCAAACTTCACCTCCTGTCAGGTGCAGAGTGTTGACAAATGGATCACAGATTTACATCGGGAGCCTTCGTGTGTGTGCGTTCGCGGAAACTGTCGTAATTATACTATTTGTTGAAAGCATGCACACATACAGTGCATGCAAAACAGGTACACCGATTGCGTAGGTACATATAGCTACACATGACTGCACAAGCGAATGTTTTTTTTGTGCGCGCGCGCGTGTGTGTGTGTGTCCGTGTGTGTGTGTGTCCGTGTGTGTGTGTGTGTGTGTGTGTCTGCATCTCTTTGTTTGTAGGTGACATTAGGTGACTCTCTGCGTGCGTGCGCGCATGTCTATGATGGATGCACGCCCCCACCCAAACTGTCGGCAGATTCTTCTCTCTCGCTTTCTTTTACTCTCTTTCGTTCTGTCTCACATGAGAGGCAAAGACAGCTTTCGTAAAGCTCTGACCCGAGTACCGGACCCAAACATGCAGATGCACGGAATTCCGGAAAATACCAACACGTCTTACCCATCACATCACCTTCAAACGGGTCAACTTAAACTTTTTCGCCAGTTGAGAGACGAAGATAAGAAGGAAAGGAATGCCAGCCCTCTGCCCATGCCTGCTTCTGTCCATCACGCTTCACCACGTACATCTGTGCCATGGTTTAGGCGTGTGAGCCTGCATCAAACGCAGCCACGCAGAACCGTCAGGGTTTAGCTAATCATTATATAGGGGCCTGCATAAATTAGAGTAGGGTCTTGGCGCAATTATTGTGCAAAAACTTTAATTCCTGGAATGCCTTATAGGAGCCCCATTGGAATTTCTGAGGCTCCTCTGCTGTAGCGTTTTGGATGGTTTTCGCTTCGGCAGTGCATGCACTAGCGGACTCAGGATGGTTTGCGTCTGCAGTACAAGAACAACGGCCAAACGGATGGGCTTGCAACGAACTCGAAGAGAAGTTGGCCCAAAATCTCTTTCAACATGCCTTGCACAAAAAAACACCTGAAGATTAAGTATATTCTTGGATTTAGAACCCAGGCAAAGTCGGGAATGTGCATCTGATGGCAATGTGCAGTGCATCCCGGCCTTTCGAGTCAGTGAGTGCCGAGGGTAACGGAGCCAAACCAAACACTCGCGGAAATGCATGTCATGAGTGATGAGAACTCGGACGCCTGAAGGCTTTAGGGCCTAGGGCTTCCGTAGATTCAAGTGTTGAGAAGGCCACACGGTCCAGTCCCGGATATGTGGGATGCTCATCGAGCCTTACGACATTTGCAAAGAAACATTCCGGTGACAGACGCAACTCCACTCCAAGCCTGCTGTCTGTCAAGAGCCTGAGCCCCATCAACTTATCAGCTTCAACCCGACATGTTCCGGGGAGCCCTTGAGCATGTTGACGACCTCTCAAGAACAGCTGAGAAAACTTTTCTTCACACGTGCAATGCTCGGTGTCGAACGCAGTCTGCACGAGAGCTTTAGCAGTAGCTGCCAAGACGCATCACCGAGACGAACTCCTGTCGCTGAGCTGCTGAAGTCAGTCGATCATACTCTCTTCAAGCTTCATGCGAGGCCAGGGCGTGAGACTTCGTGCTGCCACTGTAGACCAAACACCCTGACGTCTGCATACTTGGGATCGGTCTCCTCCAGTTTCGATGTCAGCTAGGTAACCCATTGGGACATTGCTGGCTCTTTCGTGAAGATCGTCGTGACCGAAGCCTCCCAACAGGAAGCATGGGGCCCTAAAAACACAATGATGAAAGATCGAGAACGGCCTGACGCATTTCAGGCTTCAGGGAAATAAGGTCATTGTGGTGTCTGTGGGGGCGAGAGAGAGAGAGAGAGAGAGAGAGCGGGAGAGAGAGAGCGCGGGAGAGAGAGAGCGCGAGAGAGAGAGAGCGCGAGAGGGAGAGCGCGAGAGAGAGAGAGCGCGAGAGGGAGAGCGCGAGAGGGAGAGCGCGAGAGGGAGAGCGGGAGAGGGAGAGGGAGAGAGGAGAGAGGGAGGGAGGGAGAGAGGGAGAGAGGGAGAGAGGGAGAGAGGGAGAGAGGGAGGGAGAGGGAGAGGGAGGGAGGCAGGGAGCGAGAAAGAGAGATACAGATGGAACGATATCAAAACGTATGCATGCATGTCTGAGTGTATGTATGCACACATACGAACAAACAGCAAACACACATGCATAAATACAGAAATACTTCCTTACCTACCTACCTACCCTACCTACCCTACATACCCTACCTATCCTACCTACATACGCGCGTATGCACGCGCAAACACATAAAGCAACACACAAACATACACGCATCGACATGCATACTCACTTGCATGCAATGTACACACATACTATATGTGTGTATGTATATATGTACATACATAAATACAAGCACGCATGTACACTCGTAACCTGACTGGTTGGCATGGGACATGTTCCACCGGCATTTACTTGAGACGGCCACTCATGCTTTCGTTGTCCCCTGCCTCCAGTACCATCTTTGCTGGAACTTGTCACGCTCTTGCAGAGATGCCCATGAACTCGAAGTACGGCCGAGAGTCATCTCCTTCCGTGCAGCCCGCGGCTGCAGGAGAAGAGTTCGCCAGGGTCCGTGGAGGTGCTGGTTGTGGGGACTTCTTTCTCGTCGCGTCAGTACGAAATTGGGGTCTAAGACTGGGTAGCAGCGTGTGGCACATGCGCTGCAATTTAGATGTTCAGGGTTTCAGAGCACATCGTCCCAGCGCAACACCATCAGACTTCACACAGCAAAACCGCTACGACTCTAAGTGCCTGAAGTAACTGCTTTCGCAAGGTTCATGCTGCGACAATCTCAACGGCAGCTCCAAGTTTGCGCGGAACTCCAATGAACCCCGAGCACTTATGAGACAATGATTCGCAAGCCGTGATTGTAACTGTCCATCAAGCCTAGGAGTCGTATGTGTCACCGTGTTCGCTCTCTCGACTATGCTAACGTTGAAATTATGAAGTGATTGTTTCAACACTGCCACTCCCGAACGTGTCATCCTCATGATGCAAACATCAAGGCGGCTTCAGCCTTTGGGATTGGGGCTATTCGACAGGGTAGGGCTCGTACAGGGCTTGACACTTAATCCTGCCCACGCTAGGATCGCAGAAATGCCTCAAACACTTCGAAGCCCAAGTTTAGCAGTTGCGATGGTGCACATCGGCAACTTTTAAACATGAAGGAAACGCTATAGGGGTTCAACTCTCTCCACACACAAACGTAGTTTCTCCAGCAGCATGTCAAGGCAAGTACTGCACGACAAATGCAGGATAGGCCTGCTCCCTGTCGTAAACTACAAACTCTTGATGAACTTGATTGCGATGCCCCTGGATTGGCCCAGGATTCACGACAACCGAACCATGCGTACCTGTTGCACCGTCTCTGTTCGGAGGCCTCCTTGCCCCGCGTCGCGTTGCAGATGCATAGTAAGCATCACCAAGTGCCACGCGTGCTATGATCAACGTCCTTTCGCATCTGCATGCAAAGGCGGAGGTCTTGGATGTCTTGGCTGGGTGGGCCCCACATGAATATTGATGGCTTTTGCATGCAGCATCTGCAAAGTAAACGCCATCGCCATACATCCCGCGCATACAGGTCCTGTGGTCAAAGCCATGCATAACAATGGAATTTGCGTTGCTCCACGAAGTTCCATGTAAGAGTATCTTCTCGTCAACATCGTTCGCCAAGCATGCTCCGCAGTCCAAGTCGGACTGGCTTGCAGTCATCACACCTTGGCGGCAATCAAGATCAAGAGCTGCAGGATCTACATGCACACAATACTTTGCGTGGTCTTCTCTCATGGCGGCCAATCTCGCTTGATACCTGTGCCAAAGTTGAAAGTTCTCTATTCGATGGACAGACTTAACTGTCGCTGTCTGCATGCGTGAGCATGTGCTCGACTCATCCCCTGCATGACCAGATGAGCGCAGAATACAGGTGATTCTGTCGATAAGCGCTGCGTCTGCAACCTCAACGTAGAACGAGCTCAAGGTGTCGCTCTGCGTGAGCAGAGTTGCTGGCGAACTTGACCACTCAGCAGGCACCCCGGTAGAAAGGCGAATTTGTCGGACCTTCTTGGTGCTTGCATGTGTCTGGGTCATTGCTCGGAAATCAACAATGCGTTCAACTCCGCCGGCAACTATGTTGGCACTGCAGCACTGGCTGTCGCCAATGTAGGACATATAGGCCTGATGCATCTGCTCATTTCCTTCTGGAGGGAAGGCATGCCAGTGGCCTTCCATTTCGTACTGCCAAGAAAAGCTATGATTGCCAACATGTCTCTGGTGCATCTGTGCATTCGACAGCTGTTTCTCGACAGTTGACAGCTGTTCGTTGACCTCTGATAGCTGCTTCTCGACAGCTACTCTTTTTGCAAGTGCAGACTTCAGTTGTGTTTCCTTGGATCCCAAAAGAGATGTGATCTAAGATGATTGTGCTGCATTTCAAAATTACCCAAAGGGCCAAAGTACCAATAAAGTAGGTTGTTATTTTGGGGCCCCCAAACAGTTGGACCGTTTGGGCTCAAGCTATAAGCCTTGAGTTGGGCTCCGTGGCAAGCCCAGTGCCTGCATTTTAATCTTGCGACGACGAAACAAAGCTGATGAATGCGCTCAGATGCGGGAGTACCCTGCTCCTTGTCTTGTATCCCAGAGTCTCCCTGCTTGAAAACCGGTGGTCAAACCCAACTGCAGCCGCGATGCCAATACCGTCACCCGTTTCCGGGCATCTTCATGCTTCTTTTCGGCAGTGGTCCGCGCCGAATCCTTGCTTGGCTGCTCGTATCTACATCGAGTCCATGTCGTCAATGCCGAGGGAAGGATAGCGACACAAGAATGGCAACAGGCTGTGCCTGTGAATGTAGAGGACGAAGAGACAACCCTTGTTGAACCGTTGCATGACTTTCCTCAGTCCTAACACCAGCTTCTCTTCGGCTTTATTTTCATCGCTCCCACCACCGATGTCGTCCCAACTACAGCCCCTCCATATGCTCCACCTACAAAAACCTGGGAGGTGCGTCCGGTTGGTATGCAATGGCAGGCGAAAGAAGTACGTGATTTCCACCGGTACCGCACGTCTTTACATGGCCCATGCTTCTCCCGTTGATCCTGTCATGGTCGTGGTGCATTCTGAACGATGCCCAGCCCATCCCGGCCCACTATGACTGATACCTTCCGGAAGCTTTGCCGTGCTGCCAAGAATTGGCCCGCTCAAGATGGAGAACGGCAAGCTTACAAAAGAAGAGCAGAGACACTTGATAAAAGCACCTGCAGTAACATAGACCACAACATCTGGCGACCGAGACAAGATGCCTCATCATGTACAGGGGAAAGGATAGCACAGCCCTCAGATCCACTTACACATTAATTCAACTCGTGGTGCTTTCGAGTCCTCACGCAATAATATCCGCCGGGGGAGCCTGCAGGGCTCTTTGATATGTCTAAACAGAAGAGCTCTCTGAATTCAACAGCCACTTGCTCCGGGCAGGAGCCACCCATTTCTGTCTGAGACAAGAAACGGCGACTTGCATCTAAGTTTCTGAATCTTTCAGTCGTTGTGCCGTGCGTTCGCCCTCTTGTTCTGCAGCGATCCGCTTCAAATCCTTGCTTGGCGGTTGAGGTCTGTTTCGGGGTTTGAAGCATGGCAGGAATAAATGTACGGTAAATGCAAAAGATTCTGATTCTCAGCTGTATTTCAACCTCGTCCAAGCGGGCCTGGGTGTCCTGAAGCGACTTTTCCGCGGCGATCCACTTCTTTTCCTGGTTTTGGTGGCTATGTTTGCGAGCATGACCAAACAGATCGAGTGACCAACATGACTCAGCACAGGGCCCTCAAAGAGACATTTGAAGAGGGCTTTCGGGGTGCACTGTTGTCCAGCTTGATCGGAAACCTGCCAATTCGGTATGACTCAATCTACCCATTGTCATGCTGTCCGGTCTTCAGGATGGCACTATAGAGACACAATGTACATGCCGAAGTGCGGTGCCAGAGTTGGGATGGCTTCAGCCAAGCAGCGGCTTCTCGCAATAGGCGGAGTCGCTCCCTGCGCTGTTCGCGCTTAATCTTGCGCTGCTGTTTGTCGTCTTTGGTCTTCTGTCGCAGGTCCTTGCAGTTTCACCAGGTGTTCAGTATTCAACAGTATTGCCCAAGTGTAAGTACAGCCCATTAGGCACTTCGAGTTCACATGCAGGGGTACTCTAAAATCGAACAAAGAAAAGCTTCTTAGTGTCCTGGTACTTCTTTTCCGAAGCTTCCCATAGTTTCTCCATGTGCTCATACTTCTGTCTGTCACTCGTCCGCCTCTTGCTATCCGCAGCGAACATCTCCCTGAATTCGAGCAGCATTCCGTCCTTGCTTGGCTGACCAATCGCAACACAGTGCACCTGAAACTTGACCGCCCATCAATAATCAAACACTGCTGTCTGTTCTGCAACCGGATTCAGCGTCGTTCAACTGCATCTGCGAACGCTCGAATCTAAGTTGGGCGGTCTTCAGCATGTCATCCTCGCATGATCGGGTTAGATCATCAACATGTCTCCCTTCTCTCTACTCCCCTTAGCAGGTCAGCTTACAATCATGCGGGTCCCTAGGCAAGAAACCAATATGATATGCTATAGACTTTACGTGCCTGATATGAAAACCAACGCCCGGCCCTGACACCACAGTTTAACACACAAACACAAAAACGAGGACCTGGCTCGCTGCCAAGCCGCAGTCTCTTTGAACTGAACCTTCATGTCTTTATACTTCCTTCTGGTGGTGTTAAGTTTCTCTTGGATGGCCGAGAGCACTTTGAGCACCTTCTTGACTTCATTCACCAAATCATCCTGGTCCTAGCATTGCTCACTAGTCACAATCGCAGAATTCCCCGCTACTCATAGGTTTTTCAACAAAAACAAAGCGGCACCAACACCGCCTGGAATCAATGCTGGAATCGTCATCATCACTCTGGTGCCGCTTGCGCTTTCTCGCGTTCGCATTCCGCCCACTGACATCTTGCAGCATTGCAGTGGGCATGGTTTCCTTGCTCAGTCCGTGCCAAGGGGAGCTTTGCGCGTCTTCGAACAGAAATTAGCGCAATCGATTGAAACCAGGCGCGACTTTGTCGCTCTGGTGCCACTGGTGTGCCGGAGCTGCGTGGTGGGACGTTGGGTTTGGCAAATGCGAGGTTGATTCCAGTGCCCGTTCAGTCGCTAGGCTCCACTACTACAGTGCAGACAGCAAGTCCACCGATCTTGTTCGTGGTCTTACCTGCTCTTTCTCAAGGCAATTGTACCCAAGACATCTTACGACTTCCCCGAGCCTGGCTATTCCTTATTCTTGCCGCATGATGACAGCCCAGAAGCTTCGTCTTGAAGCTTGCGACTTGAGCCCGTGGCCTATTCGAGCACACGTCCTGCATGTAACTTGAGGGTTCTGTTCTGCCGTGGTGTGAGACTGGGCCTTGGGTGGGTGTCTTAACCCCAACGCCGCTGAACCCTAACCGTTTAACCCGAGGACGCCTAAACCTACAATTTAGCTAAAAGCGCAGGTTGTCAAATGTTTTCTTTCTTCTTTGATCAAGGCAGTTTGCAATCTTGCCCATTTTAGCACGTCTCAGTCTCGAATCTGATCGAGGACGAATAAGGGTTCAAGTTCAAGGTGTGCGTGCCTTATAGGTCCAAGCGCGCTTTGTGCTTAGAGAGTTGATGCAACCTAAATCCGGGAGGTGTTGCTTCACCGCTTTCTTCTGTGGCTTTCTGAAGCTTGCGATGGCCGATGGCAAACCGAGAGCATCATCAACGCTCCTTCTCCCAGACCTAACAGATGAGAAACGAACCTGAATGTCTTAGGTTCGGACATGACTGTTCTTGTGGAAACATGCTGCACGGCCTGTATTTACTGACATGAGGGAGCTCTTCTACCCTTTCTACCCTGAGAGACAGTGGTACCCAAGTTGAAGCTGTTTGGCTTATCCTATGCACGTGCCTCTGAGACCTTCTCCGGGGACGACTGCCTGACAACAGCCAGTTACTGATTCAAGGGGTTCTCCAGCTTCTATCACCGAGACCTAAGTGCAACCACCGAGTCTCTGTGCTTGGGCTCATTAAAGAAACACATGCCTCCGTGTGCTTCGAAGCACTGCCACTGTCCGTCAAAAGGGTCTTGAGACAACTCACGACTTTTACGAACTTCCCAACATCTTGAGCCCCAATTAGTACAAGCCCTGAACCCCACTACGACGTACCAAAAACACTCCCAGTGTTTGGCGTGTTAGTGCTGGGCTTGTGGCGTGGGTCAGGGCTCTAGGGAAGTCCTGAACTTGAGGGGTGAGTCGCTGAGTTTGGCAAGCCTGAGACGTGACATGAAGGCATTCTGGGCCGAACAGATGGCGGACGACCCCAACGCCCTTCACTCCGCCACTCCCCAGCCCTGGGCAAAAAGCAGGCAGCTGAACCCTAGTGCAGGAAGTATGGCCTCAAGCCAATCCAAGAAAATCGCAGAGAGCAAGAAAGGAACGCTCAACAGACTAAGATCCTTGACATACGTTGTCTTAGCAACGAACCTCCAACCAGATTTTGTCTCTTGGGGCTCGCAATCAACCTGCTGCATTGTTCAGATTTTCCCGATACTATGGCAGGGAAGACGATGTCTTCAAAAGCATCAAACAAAGCCCCCCCCCCTCTCTTCCGAAACACGAAGCAAGGAAGGCTGTAATTGGGACCTATAAAGAAGATCTAGGGTATAGCCTTCGGCAAGTGCCTGCCTCTATCCGCAATACTTGACCCCACGCATCTTGTCCGTGGATCGCGCGAGGTCCTGCATTCACAGTCTCAGAGTTTATGGCGTACATATGCACATACTATATGTACACATGTACGCACACATTATCTGGAGAGAGAGAGAGAGAGAGAGTGTGTGTGTGTGTGTGTGTGCGTGTGTATAAATCAACAAACAAGTTAACTGCCTAATACACACATAAAACAAACATAAATACATTTACAACACATGTAAATACGAGCAATATACATGTACGCATACATATAACCATGTAATAGAAATCTAACTATAAGAAAATACGAATATGAATCGCTACACAATTATGTATGTATATATACAACGTATATACATGCATACATATCTGGTTTGCTACGGATAAGGCTTTCTCCAATCTACAATTGAGAGCCTTGGGGATTTTGGGGTGTTGGGGTGTGCAGATGCTCAATTGAGTGTTCAGGAACCTGCCAAACATACAATCTCCAGGCTCGAAGCTTGAGCACTTTAGGTTGAATGTATTGGGGGCAGGTTTCCCAGCAAAGACTTCACAAATGCTTTCCAGACACACCTGATCCACCAAAAAGAAACTGAAGCTTCTGAATCTAGTGCTGAAGAGATCTCATGGAATCCTGGAAGAGCCCCGCTGAACAGGCCTAGGCAATCCATGAGAGTCTCGCGCAGAGACTCACCGAGCCACCCCAGCTGCTTTCGGGAAGAAGCGGCGGTGGCATACTTCACCAGATGAGTGGCTCTTAAAGCAAGGTTTCCAGCAGGGTCCTAACAGCAATTCCAGTCAATCCTGTCCAAGACTAGGGTCTATGCGTTGAACGGCACAAGCGACGCAACATTCCGCTGGCAAAGACTTGCCGTCCAGCTACTAAGAACAGTATATGGCATGGATCATGGATCTCTTTTTGAAGCTTGTCTGTACAGAAGCTTGTCAATGTTCCGTGCCCATGCGCCAAGTGCACCGTGCAGCGGAGTGAACACGCTAGAGGCCTACAGCTTGTTGAGTACAGTGTTTGCCTAAGTCGCCGGCTCTTACAACTTACATTTACGAACCTGTTCTGCGCTAACATATTGGGACTTCCGCTAAATAGGCAAGCATAAATGTATGCACGAGTTTGCCACAGCTTCCCCAATTCTGGGGCGCAGCTGGCTCCGTCTGTACATCGTGATTGGCAGATCGAGAGGCACTTTCCACAGCAGGCCATGTCAACTTTGTACGATTAAGCTGCTCTCCCCTAATTCAAACTGTCAAGCCCTTGCCCTTGCCAATGCTACTACCTTTACTTTTAGCTACATACTGTGACGTACTCGTACCGCAGCTCTTGTCGTGACTCCTATGCTTACTCTTACTCTTACTCTCACTGTTACTGTTGCCAATGTTCTTTCAACTAACGTTTTCTGTCACTCTTTCTCTTGATCTGCTGCTACTACAACTGCTGCTGCTACTACTACCACCACCACCACCACCACCACCACCACTACTACTACTACTACTACTACTACTACTACTACTACTACTACTACTACTACTACTACTACTACTACTACTACTACTACCAGTACTACTACTACTTTAGCACATTCGGGGATTCGGCGGGGGACTTTAGGGTTTGGATGCCCGACGAGCGCGGCCCGAGCTGCAACTACCCGAGCGAAGGCTCAGTTCGCAGCGGAGGTGAGGATCATCTCCTTCAAAGCCAGCTTCGCGTGCTTCTGCTTCCTGGGAAGGAAAGTAGGCAAGACGACAGGGTGCAGTTATTAGGGCTTTACTGGGCCCTAGGATTTGAAGTTCGGGGTCCATGGCAAAGAACAGAAATGGTTTCTGTCGCTTCTCTTGTCGGGATGGTCTCTTGACCAAGCAACACCCCCCTGAAACCAGCGTCCTATCACTTCCCAGACCTGCCCAGCTTGCAGTGCCCAGGAGTAATAAAGCTAAGCTGAGCATGGCGACAGAACCCAAAACTAAAAAGGCCGCCCCCCAGACCTTAAGTCTCTGGATCATATGATTGAAGGACCCCAAACCCGAAACCCCAAAGCTACCTAAGCCCCAACTGTAGATCCTGACCCGACCTGCAGTTCCCATCCGGATACCGCCACCGGACACCCCCTCGTCTAACTAGACCTTCTACAAACCCAAAAACCCAGGGTAGGCCTTGCAGCATGTGCTATAAAAGCGTAGGAGACTGCCAAAGAGTCAGTATTCAGAATGCTAAACAAACCCTACCCAAAAAATTCTCAAAACACAACCCATCAAGCGCCTATATACAGGAACCCGATAATTAAACCCCCGCCAAAAGAAGCCCTAACCCTTGCTGAAGGACCCCTAAAGCCCTATGAGGAGCCAAGGCTGCATGGTTAGATCGGACGGGACTCTTGGATTGCAGAAACTTCCGGGAGAAATCGCTCAAAGAGCTGGCGTCCAAACTCGGGGCCTCAAACCAAAGCTTAGGAACTTCAGGAATCGAATGTAGGGTTATGTAGGGTTCAGGGTTCTGGGGTTTAGGGTTCTACGGTTGAGAGTTCTAGGTTTTAATGCTATTTCAGGCTGTGCAGGGTTCAGGGTTTGTGGTTTAGGGTTTGAGGGTTTGGGATTTGGGGCCTTGGGTTTGGGAGGTTGGTGTGTCAGGTTTTGTATAGGGTTCTCTGGTGGAGCTTTCAATCATGTTTATCAGGGCTTGGCACAGGTTTTGTAAGGGCTGCTTTTACCAGTGTGAGGTGAAGGCCCTTCCGTGGATTCCATCAAGTGTCGGCCTCCGGATTTGCATTGAAATTAATGACAATGCTTGAAAGGTTTTCAATGGGATTGTAAAAGGGTGCAGGATCTCACCGCTGTGCGGGTGTAGGATGCCTGGCATATCGGGAGTTTGGTGTGCAGTGAAGACTTCAGAATTTCGGAGGTGTGGGCTTCGAGGTAGACAGTTAAGCCAATTGCAAGGCGAAGAAAGCTCTGGTTTCGCGATAATTAAGTGCGACTAGGACTCACGTTGCCTTGATGTCTGTGACTTGACTATTGATTCATGCAACCGAAAGAAGGGTCTACAGTGTGGGAGCGATTGCACAGTTGCCGCCTATACAGCCCATTGATTTAGGACAAGGCTGAAGGAGCACCCTCGACTAGATCGTGTAGCGTCGTATGGCCCATGATTGGCATAGTCGGCACAGTCAGCGCAAAATCTTTTCTGGTAGACGCCTGAAGCGTGCAGAAAACTTTGAAACTTTGACATACTTTGACCATTCAGCAAGATTGATTGTACGAGCTACCCCGCTCTTGTAAGAGGACCATCGCAGAATCTCAAGAACAACAACGCAACAACGAGTAACGAGAAGATGGCGCAGGCTTATGCTCGCCCAGAATCGCGGTAAGACATACTCAGCTTATCCATTAACCCGCTGTCTATGAGGACCTTGGCATTCCGACAGCTAATCATGCTTCTCATAATTTTTTATCTATCTATTTATCTCTTGCTTGCAATACGCCCAGCCCAAGCCTCTCATTTCAGAAGAAGGACCCGGGAAAGTCGAAGAATGGACTCCGCAAGCACTGAAACAGCCAAGCGTCTTGTTCAAGCACGTCCGTGAGGAGCGCTTCGGCCTTCAGCACACATCCAGAATCCTTTGGGCCTTGAGCTCCTCAGCCTGAACCTTTCTGTTTCTGCTTGCCCCACATCCTGTTGAACAGGAGGACCTCTATCCTCAAACACATCCAGCCCCAACCAGAAACCAGAAACCATCAGTCCAAAGCTCTACGAAAACCCTGAGCGCGAACGGAGCACTGACGACGTAGATCCTGGCCATCACCGAACACGCTGAGCTCCCAGGAGCCGTGCAAGTGGGATCCCCTACAGAGCCTGTTTCCCCATACCCTGCACCCCACCCGTGGATCCCCAAAACAACGAGACCATAAACCCTAACCACCCCCGAACCCGGTTTATTGAACTCAGCCTTTGTACATGACATCCCACGCTCTGGTCCCAGAAAACAAGACGCCGGTGCTGGCCGGCGTTAGGGAACCCAACGGTCTGAACGCTAGTGGTAGATCTTGCTCGAAAGCTTCAACTTCAAAACATATCAAACTTTTGCAATGGCCTACTGGTCATGGTTGGTCAGTACAAACCCGAAACTTCAAGAACACAAAACCGGCGTGACCTCAAGACCCACAAAGTTGCACAAAGCCCGAACGCGAAAATCCTGCAAACCCTAGGTGGTCCAGTTCTACGGAATTCCAACCTGCAGAAATTCTATCGCATGAAAACCATGAACCCTCAACCCTCTGCGGAATTCAAACCCCATCGCATGGCCTGATGATCGTCTGCAGCGGCCTCGGCTTGTAGGCGGCCGGCGAGGACATCTGGAGACTGCTGCGCCTGCAACGGACCACTCCAGACCCTTCGGGTCGGGTCGGAGACTTCGCACATCCAAATTTACAGTCTCAGAGGGCGCAGGATTTTCGGCTTCTTGGAGGGTCCAGCTATGGTGTGAGCTTCCAGCACTGCATTTGGGTTTAGGGTTTATAGGGGTTGAGGGTTTAGGGTTGAGAGTTTGGGGGTTTAGGGTTTATAGGTTTAGGGGTTCATTGAATATCAGTGGCCCATGATTCCTGAAATGCAACCGGGAGTCAAGAAACTTCCGGGGATGCTGTCAGGGTCTCTGAAGGGGCTTTGGACAAGTCTTTCAAGATTGAAGGGCGACCTCTCTCGCAGATTCTGGCGGGTTTAGGCTCGATTCCAAACCAGAAGACCAGGACCCTCCTTGTACCCTCAAATAGGGGTATATGGTCCAAATAAGGGGCATTTAGGGTCTAATAGAGGGTAGATGGAGGGTCTAGGGACTTGCAAGATCTGGATAATACCTCGGCCTTTGCTCGGCCAAAACTGCAGCCATCTCCTGTATGCAGCCTTCCGCAACACCTCAACTCCACCCTATAATAACTAACCCTAGACTCCAGACCCTAAAACCCTGAGATCAGACGCCGTGGAGCTGCTGTCCGGCCTTCATACGGTCTCTTTCAGCCGCGAGGTCGAGGACGCGGCTACGTAAGGACTGTGTGGAACTCAGATCCTGCTCATACCTCGGGAGCCATGCAAAGGATGAGGACAAAGGAGCCACAGCCTCAGACCAAGTTAAGAGCCGCATTCTTGGAGTTGACGACTTTCCGAATATTCTTGCCATTACGTACCAAACGATGTAGTCCCACATCTAACAGAACATACCCACATGGTCAACAACGGGGACGAGAGGAAGGGAGGCACGCACCTCTTTTCGTTGTTGTGCGGCGAGCTTGTTTGCAACGCGTCAAGGCCAGTATTGCACGACATGGGCGGGATAGGCTTGTTCGCGATCAAAAATCACGAACTCTTGATGAGCTTGGATGGGGTTGTGATGCCCCATGATCTGTCCAGGATTGACCACAACCGAACCATGCGTACCTGCTGCACCATGCCTGTTGGGAGCCCTCCTTTTGCCATACCGGGTTTCGGATGCATAGTAAGCATCGCCGAGTGCAACACGGGCGATGATCAGCGTCCTCTCGCATCGGCAGGCCAGGGTACGGGCGCTGCTGCACTGATACCCACATGAATATTGATGGCTCTTGCATGCAGCACCAGCAAAATAGACGCCATCACCGTACATCCCACGTGCACAGGTCCTGTGGTCAAAACCGTTTTCCACGATAGAATTGGCATTGTACCATGATGTGCCATGCAACAGTATCTTCTCATCCACGTCGCGTGCCAAGGGCTCCCCACAGTCCAAGTACGGCTGGCTCTCAGTCATAACATGCTCACGACCATCCAGATCAAGAGCTGCGGGCTCTGAGTGCAAGTTGTACTTGGCTCTGTCTTCCCTCATGGCACGCAGCCTCGCTTGGTAGCGTTGCCAAAGTTGGTAGTTTTCGATCCGGTGAACGGACTTCACCGTGGCGTTCTTCATCTGGGAGCATGCCGTCGATAGATCCCAAGCGTGCCCTGTCGCCCGCAGAAGGCCGCTGATCACCTCAAGCAGGGTTGCAGCTCTTACCTCGACATAGAAGGCGCTCGCATCGTCACTCTGCATCAACAACTCCGCCGCGGTACTTTCCCACTGCACAGGCACTCCGGTGACGATGCGAACATTTCGCCTTCTTCGTGTTGTTGCATGTGTTTGGGTCATCCACTCGAAATCAACGATACGCTCAACTCCACCTGCAACAATGTGTGCCTGACGACATCTGTAAGTGTCGTCGATGTATGCCAAATAAGCCTGAAGCATCTGCTCGTTTCCTTCAGGCAGAAATGGGTGCCACTGATTCTCCATCTCGTATTGCCAACATGCACCATGAGCAGTAGAAAGCTTCTGCTCCTGAATATCGAACAACTTTTGCTCTGCATTTTCTTTCTGCTTCCGTTCTTTGACGAGGGCGGACAAAGCATCTTGAAGTTTGGTCTCCTTAGCTGTGCTCAAGACAACAGTCTAACACTAATCGAGGACTTGAGGGGCGTCCACAAGGCGCAACACCCGATGTGCACACTCCTATGCACTGACACCGCCAGCGCAATACTCCTAGCGGGTAGGGTTCTATTCCCTTGGCGTTCTTCGGGCTGTCTCCTGGGGCTTAGCTCAAAGTTTAACCTTTAGGAGGGCTTCAGAAGTCTACCAAGGCCGGTGTTCTTACACAAACTGCAACCCGCCCAAAGTTGGAAGATTGCGTCCACATACAGACGAAGTAAGACCTGAGCTACTACAGGCCGCTACCCCAACCTTGCATGGACTGTACAAGCCAGGGTGCAACATCTGTGCGTTTCTTCTTCTCTGCCATCAGCTTCGCTTCAAGCAATCGTTTTTCACCCTCCCGACGCACCAGCTCCGACTCAAGCCTCTGATTTTCACCGTCTCGGGCGGCCAGCTCCTGTTGAAATTTCTGCTTTTCAATGTCCCAGGCGCCCCAGCATTGCTGGTCCTTGCACAGCCAATCTGTGGATAGAAGCACAAACCATTGCATAAGTCCAGCTGTTGTAACATGCTTACTGGCATGACAGAACTCAACGACAACCAACTTAAGTCTTGATTAAGGGCCAGGGCGCTTGTCCCGGAGCCGCTTGCACCGGAGCTGGTTGCGGCAGCAACTGGATGGGAGCCGTTTGCGCTGGAGGTGGCGGCGGCAACTGGATGGTTACACCCATGAAATTGAGGAGCATCTTGACAGATTCCTAGCAACAAAGGCGGCACATCAGGTTAGCAGTGTGGATCGTGTTTGAAACATCGTGTATCTTCAGCATCTGTCAACCTATGGTGGGTGCCGGACTGTGCAAGCGCCTGTGGCCTACGGAGCTTACAAGTTCTGTGAAAAACATCGAAGGTCGCCGATGCCCTACCCTGGATAAGCTCTAGCTCGAGCCATCATGTGGTCAAACATCGGCTAGCCGGCCTCCTGTGCTGACCTGTAAAGCTTGTTTTCGGAATGATCTTTATAGCCCCAGCTTGTAAAGTCACTGTCCGGAAGAAATCAACCACGCCACGGTTATCCTTCGGCTTGAGAATCGATTCTCCTCCCGCCGAAAAACCAAGACTCAAGCCTACACAGCTGCTCGGCTGTCAAATCACACAACTTTGGGTGGTCAAACTTAGCAACCCCCCCCCCTCTCCACTTTCTTAACAAAAGACAACACTCACGCACAGATGAGAGAAGCTGCTGCTGGATCCGTCCCTGCAGCCCCTCTTGGCGGCAAAGGAGCTCCTGAGGTTCGTTCCAATTCATGAGCGTTTCCATTTTTCGGGATTGCATGGGGGTTGTAGGGTTTTCCGGTTGGGGTTCAAAGGTTGGTCCAAGCTTAATGTTTCTTTGGCTTTTGGGGAAAGGCCTGGAAACCTAAATGCACTGAAGCCAAGTGCTTGACTCGAACTCTTTCCCAAATCCAACATCCTTGTTGAAACTCTTGAACTGCTGTGTTGCTCCATGGTCCAGATAAAGGTTTATTGGTTTCTTCTGAACCTCTTTCATTTACGTGTAAGCTACTTGTACAAGGGCTGCCGTTTGCACATCTGCGTTGAGTCAAGAAGTTATCCAAGGAATATTGTTGCCATGCACACATTCTGTCTACATCTATATCTGGATCTATGCCTTTAGCTATCTATCTGTCTATCTTTCTATCTACCCACCTACCTTTCTATCTGTATATCTCTCTATCTTCTATCTAGTCTATCTCTCTATCTACCCATCGACCTATCTATCGAACAACCGATCTGTCGAACTATCGATCCATCGATCGATCCATCTGTCTGATCTATCTATCTGTTCATCCTATACATGTATATATACATATATATATATATGTATATAGAAACATATTATACACGCATACATATACACAGCATACGCACATTTCCGTGTATCACTGCGCCCCAGCCATGTCGCAAGCCTTGCAGGAACCTGTAAAGGGGGTGATAGATAGATAGGTAGATAAACGGATAGATAGATAGATCCATGGATCGATAGTTCGATAGATCGATTGTTCGATAGATAGATAAATGGGTTTTTATATATATATATATGTAGATACAGATACAGATATAGGTATACACATAGATATAGATATAGACATAGCTATAGTTATAGATGCCGAGAAGATAGAGATTCAGACCCTGATAGACATTTAGATAAGTAGAGAGACAGAGGTAGAAAAATAACTAGCTAGGTCGACCGATGGATCGACAGATCGAGAGATAGATAGATAGATAGATAGATAGATACATAGATAGAGAGATAGACAGATAGATAGATACATAGAAAGTAGATAGAGAGAGATAGATAGATGGATAGATACATAGATAGATCGGTTGTCCTATAGGTAGATAGACAGATAGATAGATAGATAGATAGATAGATAGATAGAACCGTAGATCGATTGCATACTACTCTTGAGGGCCGACGGCCGGATCTTGCTGCACAAGCCTGTATCATGAGCGCTCTCTGAAGACACGCGAAAAACCTGCTGTTTCTGGGATGCCTCGGCTCGTTTGGCATTCTGTTGTGACAGCGCTCGCAGCTGCCCGACGTAGTCCTGGACGCCTTCGGTATCCGCAGCGGTTGAAGGGCTTTGGGTCTAGGGCTTCACTTTTTCAAGAGTTCGGAAGCAGGCTTCGTCCGAACACCATGCCCTGAAACCCCCCCGCACCTGGAAGCTCTTGGAGCACATCTCTTTGCAACACCTCATTGGCTTTGAGCTGTGCCAACTCCTCCTTGCGGCCGTGGGGATCGAAGTCGCGGGTCTCGGAAGGTTGTGGTGTTTTGGTGGTTCTACTGGCAAGACCCGCTGAGATTGCAGTGGCTTGCAACGGATCCTTCGGGGGGTGAGGCCTGGTAAGATCTCACTACATATCCAGGACATGCCTTGTTCAATGGATGCTCCAAAATCCTTACTCTAGGCCCCAGGCCAGACTTTCCAGACCCAAGACTAACCTCAGCTTTTGAAGCCTGAACTTGAACTAGACCCAAGAGTATCCTAGGAATGAAAAGGCTGCCCTTTTTGGTTTAAAGCGGCTGATAAGAGAACCTGAAGCCTACAAAAAGGGAATCAGGGGCCTACTCCAGGTCCTAGTTCCGCCCAACTTCGATCAAAAACTTCAACCTTTTTTTCCCAAACCCCGTCCTAAACCCCAAAGCCTGAACAAGGAACCCCTTCCTGCAAGAGCCCCACATAGACCAATCCGGAACCCGAGGCCGGAAGCCCAAAGGCCGTAGACTAATCCTGAAATACAGAAGCTTTAACCCTAAGGCCTTGCATGTTTACATACTCTCAAAAGACTTCCTCCGAGGCGGATATGCTGGCAGGCACCAAACAAATCCAGATCCCTAAGCCCTGAACCCTGCAAGCTATAACACTCTACGTAAACTCGAAACACTAGACCCTGACAGCCCTTTCAAGGAATGCTTAAATGGGAACCCTTAGAGGCACCCTCAGCGGTACCTTTTATGGCAACCTTAAAGTAGGTCTCCTTCTGAAGTTCCTTTTATGATAAGCTTAAGGGAGCCCTCATTAACGAAACTCAAGTATCCTTTTCCAAAAGTACGCCTTAGGGCGACCTTGCAAGCACTGGCCTGGCTCAAGTGCGCCAGGTTCGGGAAGGAGGCAGGAAGCGAGGGAGCCGGAGGGCCGACCCTTGCAGGCCTTCAGGCCGTTTCAAGTTAGGGCTTTAAGGATTCGGGATTCGGGTTCAGGGTTTCTGGGAATGTGGTTCTCGATGACAAGCCTCGGTCTCAAGATGTCAGGCCCTATGTTATGAGACTGGGACAGCTGTAAGATTGTTTTCTTGAGGAGTTTCATGCTAGCTTTGCGTGCGATAACATAACCCGCTGCTTCTTCGTAACAGTGCTTCTGGATACCACATGAGTTTGTGGCGTTTGTATGGGCCATGGAGTTTGAGGGGATCAGCGGACTCTGACCTATAACACCCCGAAGCACGCCAAAGAATTGCATGAGACTGTATATCAGCGGCCGTGTGTTTGAACCTCACACACCGCATGAAGCTTCAAGCCTCCTGCATCTCCCTATCATCATGAAGATCATTCTTGTCATCGTCAGCCTGTATAAACCATCGAAACAGGTCTACATCTAATCGTCCTCATCGTCATCCTCACTCTCATCATCACCCTGGTGTCAAGATCAGTGCCAACACCAGCCAAGGCATTTATGTATTGCCATCACCATGAGCAGAAGCATCAGCGCCACCTTCTCGTCAAGATGTTGCATCTCTTGTCTTCATCTTATTCACCGTCTTCATAATCATGACGATCATAATCACCCACGCCATGAATCTAGCAGTCTTGCGTGCTGCTCTGCCAAACCTCACTTTATGCTGCTATTTATACAGGACAGTACTGGCTTCCATGGGAAAGAGGGGGCAGCCTGTAGCTGATCATTTGCAGGCCTACGCTTCAGAAGCAACCATGTGCTTCCCGTTATATGTTTTTCACTTGACTGCCTCTCCGGTTCCAACGGTGCGGCTTCAGCAACAGGTGGCTCGACGACCAAAATCAGGGCGCTGTAGCACTTCCCCTGTCGAAAGCTGAAGCTTGCAGTTCTGGAGGTGCTTCAAGCATTGAGAAAGCAACTATTCACCATCACTGAAAGGCTTCATGGGAATTTGGCGTCGAGCTTCGAGCAGGGAAGGGGGGAAAGTTTGAGCGCGTCAAGACATCTTCACGGCAAAACGAACTTCAACACTTTGTACTATGTCTTCACCCGAAGCCCCACTTCGTACCTCAAATAAAATCAACATCTCCAGTCTCTACCTCATCGATTGCTGGAACGGCTTGTAACCTGAATCAACTGAAGCCCAAATCCTAAAGCTGAACTCGACGTCCTTAATGAACCCTAAACCCTACTTGCAGGTTCATGGGTAGTTATAAGTGGGGCTATAAGTGGGGTAACTATACTCGAAACTCATATTAGGGGGCTTATAACTACCCATGAACCCTAAGCCCTTTACCCTTATGGAATCCCTATAGATCCCTTTAAAGGGACCCTTAAAGTAACCCTTATAACTGCCCCTGAACCTCCAAGTAGCTGCCCTGAACCTTCAACTCCAACCTGGTTGTGGGACCAGAAATGGTTCATCTTGCCATCGGACACGTTGATCTTCCCAGGCTCCTGAAGAGAGTCGGTTTAGGGTTTATACAGGGTTTAGGGTTTTGGGTTTAGAATTTTAGTAGGACCCTACCCTGTTACGCTATAAGCACCTCTTGCCGACTGCTCTGAACATGGTTTCTGTGGAAGTAAGCCTGGAAATCGCTTCCGTGATGTCAGCCCGGTGTTGTGAGGAATTGTGCAGCAGATGCCCGAAAAAGTCAGAATCATTAAGTCCTAGACCCAGCATTTCGAGGCGGAAAGCGGAGGTGGCATGAAAACAAGCACCCCGAGCCCCTGCAAGCATCGAACAGCACGTGCTTGGAAGCCCTTTACTTGGGGTTGGGGTTGGGGTGCTAGACCGCTTACATCCAAAAGCTAATGCCTGTAAATCCCCTCCGAGCGGCCAAGCTCGAGTGCCCCACAAAAACGAGGCCGTCAGTGGGTGTTTGGCCGCCCGCGACGGCGTGCGCTGGAATGGGGTCACCCTTATTCCTGACTTGGTCATGGTGTCTCAAACTCACGAACCGACAATCCATCTGTTTCTCTTTGAGGGCCTTGAAGTAAAAGTAGAGTCTATAGTTTATAGTCGAGGCTATAGTATATAGCTTGGCCTTGCATGTGTGTGTGTGTGTGTAGTGCAGAAGTACCTGTATGGCGGACCTTTTTCTGTATTTGTCTCTGGATCCCCAGGATTGGCAACTTTGGTATACGCTTTGCAAGTTATAGAGTTGAAGCATGCTGAGGGTGCTGTGGCCTCTACCTTACAGCTTCAGGTGTGCACAAACTACGGCTTGAGGCGTTCAGAGTCCAAGGCTTTCGGGCTTCGAGGAACGACTGGAGCTTGTGAAGCTCAGTGTGCAGGGCTTTGGGCTTTATGCATATACGAACGTATATACATACATACATGCATGCATACATACGTACGTAGTAATGCAATGTATTTTACATACATACTGCATTCCGTCCAAGTGACATACATCGAGTATGAAGGGTGAGAGGGAGCGAGAGAGTCAGCTGTCCATGTCCAAGAACATGCATGCGTCACTTCAGTGCTTGAGTCATCCGCATAGGAATGGAAAGATACTTCAAAAAGCTCGGTCTACAAGTCGTGGAAACAAGGGCCTAAATCCCAGAAGTCCACGTCTACCAGCCCCTGAACACCGAACACTGAGTAGATCTGTTGTTTCGCCAAAAGTCAGTGCGATCCATTTGTAGACTTCCGAGCAAGTCAGGATCTCCGCATTGTAGGAATGAGACTGATGGTGGGCACGGAAGTTCCACATCTTCCCATCCTTTCGCAGGGCTGAGGGCTGAAATCCGGAACCTCGGACCCCATGCAAGTGCAGTTGGCCGTGAAAAACGGGGCCCAAAAGGACTGGCACAAGCAATGCCTTTCACCACTATGACTCTGACACACATCTCCTTTCTTGATGCTGTGTCCTTAAATCGCCATCGTCGTCGTTGTCCCACATGCTGCCATCACCATCAGCTTCATCATCATCACCACCATCATGCAGTGTCGTCATCATCATCGTCGCAGGAGGAGCAGAACCCCTAATAAGGTACCCCTAATTCTCGGAAACCCCCACATGACCCTGTGTACCGCAGACCTGAATGAACGGCTTTCGGATCCTTGGCTGCGACCCGGTCACCGAACGGTTTAGGGCTGGGGGTTTAGGAGTTAGGGTTTAGGGGTTAGGGGTTAGGGTTTAGGGTTGAGGGTTTAGGGGAGTTGAGAAGAAGAATGTACATAGATTACCTAGTGCATGTATCTGCAGGCATACACATGCAATACTACGTCGGTGCAAAACTAACATCTATGTCAATGAACTCGAGCTTGGAGGGGGTTTGGGGTGCCTTATGCTATAATCATGTGTTTATTTCCTAAACCCTAGACCCGATTTATTTCGGCCCCCCATAGTAAGTCTGCTTACGACACGGCCTTCAGGTTGATTTTGCCCACCTCGCCGTTCAGACGGCCCACCTTGTGCTTGCTACTGCAGAGTCGGAGTAACTGTTGGAATTTCAGGTTCAACTCTGAATATAGGGGCCTTAATGATTAGAATAGGGTTCTGGGGCCCATTATACATACTGTAATTACATTATAGTAAGGAAGCCCCAAAATATTAAAGGCAACTAGTTACGCCCCTATACTAAGTGTTATTTAGGGTTCAGAGGATGATGCTCCAGAGGGGTCTCAACGGTTCGTGACGGCTTTTCAGGCTCCCAGTCTTTCTGGTGGCGATTTGGGAGTTTCCGAAAATAGGGGACCGTAGTATAGTACCCTAAATAGAAGGATCCTTATTATAAGGACCCCCAGATAAGGTACCCCTAATTTTCGGAAACTCCAGTTTGAGCTTTCAGGGCTTTTCGTTCGCTTTTGAAGCTTTCGGCTCAGGCTTTCGGCGCTGACGACTGCCTTTCGATGCTGTCAGGAGCTCTGTGCACATCTTCTGGAATTGGAGAAGCAGATTTAGTCTGAGCCGACGGGGAGTTCAACCAAGCCGGCGAATTCGTTTTAGGGTTTTGGATCAGTTTCGGGTTCGGGGTTTAGAGCTTATGGTTTGAGGTTTAGTGGGGGTGGTGGGGCTCCGAGTGTAATCCCAGCACCAATAATTACTCAACCCGAACCCGTGAACTAGCAAACCCCAAACCTGAAATCCGAAAACTTCTGCAGGCCTCCAGCCCAGGCCAAAAACTTCAAAGCTTGCAGAAACATTAAGTCCTCAATAGTTTGAGCGGGATTATGTGATACATTATGGCATATACTCTTTAGTATTTATAAGTGTAGTATTTGCACGAGCTTCAGAGTTTTGACTTTAGGGATTTGGGGTCGAGCAGTTTCGGGGTTTAGGGGTTCAGGGTTTGCTAGTAGTAGTCGAGACTTTGAGCGTTTCGGGGTTCAAGGGTTTGGGGCTTCAGGGTAATATAGTGCGGTAACCATCAGGATAGGTGTTGAGTGTTGAGTGATATGGTAGCAAAATGTAATCAGGAACCCTGACGACCTAAACCCTAAACCCTAAACAAAGGGGCCTTCTAAACTTTAACAGGGAACCCCCCCAAAATAGTAGGTAAGTACCGAGACCCCTCTATTATGTCATGTAAGCTTTTAGGGGTCTCTTTGGCGAGCTTCGGGATGAGTGGTTTCAACCTGGTGCCCCCTCATCTCCTAGTTGCTGATTTCACAAAAAGGATATTATATGAGAGTTTCCGAAAATTAGGGGGCACCTTATCTTGAGGCCCTTATAATAAGGATCCTACTATTTAGGGTACTCATATTAGGGTCCCCTATATATTCGGAAACTCCCATATTTTTAAATCCCAAGAAGTGTCAAGTGTAGTGCCCTTTCCCCTGTTTGCGCTGCTTCTTGCGTTGCTTCTCAGACACAAATCACCTTCTGTGCATTGAGGTGTCTGTAAAAGGTCTTAGTTGCCGTGTCAGTACCTGGCAAACATTCACACACCACCTCCCTTCCGACCGCTTGGGCTTAACATGCTTTGGCCTGGAATTTCGTCCTCCAAGCACGCATAACCTGAATCTCTAAGGCTCTGAAAACCCAACCGTGAAGATCTAGACAAGGGCACGTAGACCATGCCATCGACACCATATGTCCCGACAGCCAGAGCATTCTCCGGCAGAGCATCGCCGCGGGAAATTGGCAGCCAAGCAGTTGCCGCCATGGCGCCCAGTGGAGTCTTGAGGATGCTCTCCCAGAGGCTCCAAAGTAGTTCCTTTTTGGGGTTACCTTATAGGATTCTAAATATGAACCCTAAAAGGAACTACTATGGAGCCTTAGGGTAACGCTTAGACTAGTACCACCGGCGGGCGAAGCGAAATGGACCAGTCTTGCTCCGGAATCATGTGCAAACAGCAGTACGAGAAACTGTACCTATAGTCTCCATTGTAGTTCCTTTTTTGGTTTAACCAAATATATGATTAGGATCTTATAAGGTAATCCCAAAAAGGAACTACAATGGAGACCGCAGGAAGTCACCGGTGAAGTTCACAGTATCCCAAACCTTTGGCCGGCAAAACAACACATGAAAGCAAAGCTGCGGCAGCAGCGCGCAAGTGGTTAAACCTGCAACCGGTCATTTCGCGCATACCGAAATCCTAAATGACATTCCGTCTTGAATTGTTGATGTTGTTTCTTTCTACGGGAAGCCCAAGAGGAACGCTATTTTCCGACGGGATGCCAACTCAATGCGTTTCTAGCCACCTCACCCATGCAGCATACTCCTGGCCGATGCATCATCGGCGAGAATCCGAGCTCTGTGGCATGAATATTCAGCCCCTACCCCATCATTAACGCTTCTTCAATCTTTTCACCTGCAGAGCCCGAACGAAGCCTTGCAAGTACACCTAACTGACCTGCCAGACTCAAGAGCATCAGTGTGCAAGTTCACACTCCGCTGACCTGGGAGTTTCCGAAAATGGGGGACCCTAACCTACTACCCTAAATAATAGGATCCTGAGAAACGGACCCCAAAATAAGGTACCCCTTTTTTCGGAAACTCCCACCTGTCGGAGTCAGGTTCATAGTTGTAGTGTCTGGTACGTGGCCATTTTCTCTTCCAAGCTATAGTCGCAGTCTCACCTTAACACCATGTACGTTGCTTTTCCTAGAAATGGCCGTTTGTCTAACGAGTATAGCATCATGCTGCGGCACCAGGCTATTCGGAAAAGTAGTGGCTCATCCATCCCTAAACTTGCAGGAAGGTCGTGCAGAAGCACGCAAGGAAAGCCCTAGAACCGAAGAACCCAAACCGAGCGCCCCAAAGCCCGGCATATAGTCGAAACCCCAAACTCCAGCATTGCCCAAGCCAGCCCAACATCAGGGTCTTCCAGGCTTGATAGTTACTAAGTTTCTCTCGGCCCACAAAAACCTGAAGCTCTACGCCCTCCTTATTCTCAACAGAACCCCCCCCCCCCCAATGTCGAAGCTTCAACCGACAAGGGCAGGTCCTCGAAAACGAAGGCGTTCCGTTGAACGACTTGCTCAGACAGCAAAGGAGCCTGTATCTGGGTCTGGGAGTTCCCAAAATCCGCCGAGGCCAGAGGCCCAGGCGTTTTGGTGGTTACCTCAGGTACCCTCCACCTAATCCTCCTCCCTGCAGCCGAAATGATTGGTGACACCCTGTTTTTGCGTTCGTTTGCCACCCCCTTGCCCGGCTTCCCCTCATTTTACCTGATTTTACCTGATTTGTCGGGCCTCCCCCCCCCCCCCCCCCCCCCCCCCCCCCCCCCCCCCCCCCCCCCCCCCCCCCCCCCCCCCCCCCCCCTCCCCCCCCCCCCCCCCCCCCCCCCCCCCCCCCCCCCCCCCCCTCCCTCCCCCTGTGCCCGTTTTCCTGGCACTTCGTATCAACAACCGTGTAAAGGTTGGGGTTTGACAGGCCGCCCTAGCATAAAAAAAACATCGACTGCCCCCTCGCCCTGCCGCTACACAGCCGACGGGCGGCGTAGCGTTAAAATTACAGTAGAAGCCAGAAAGTTGGAATATGATTATACCAACCCCTTTATGGCAAATTATAGGGGATCCTGCCATTATTCCATATTCCAACTTTCTGGAGTTCCCAAAATGAGGGTGCCCTAATTTTGTACCCTAAATAGTAAGACCCTTATTACAAGAACCCCCCCAAAAATATGGTACCCCTAACATGCCCTAAAACTAAACAGGACTCCAAGCGGGGGGGGTGTGGGTGAAGTTCAATGGGAGGTTTAGGGAAGATATGATCCCCGAACTAGAGATTTCAAGGCGTTTAGTGTTAGGTTTTTTTCATTTCGGGTTTAGGGTTTAAATCACGGCTTTGATGTATGCGTCTGAAAAACGAGCGAAGATGGAAAAAAACAACAAGATGGCCAGGTGCAACACTCGACATGAAATCCGGCTAGTGTAAGACACACTATAGTCAGAATAACTTGTAAAACCGCTCAGGTGTAGACCCAGGCTAGGAAGCCCTACGAATGCAGAATGCGTCCCATCAGCAAATGGAACACTCTTTGGACAGAAGCGAGCAATACGGAGAAGGAAAACACATTGACATACATTCCCATTGACAACTCTACCCTCAACCCTACCTTAACCTACCAAACCCTACTTTCCACATTAGGGTTCATAACAAGGATGCCCAGTAACCTAGCACAAAGACGGGCTCCCGTTTGGTATTGGGTAGGAACCTAGGACTACCAAAGGGAATAAGGGTACTACTGGGCATCCTAGATAATATGGTAGGCGACGGTAGATCCTAAACCCGAAAGACTCTCGCATCCACCCAAAGTCATGCCAGTGGCCTGCGTCCAATGCCAGTGAGGTCCAAAGTTTGCTTGGCGCCAGAGCCAGACACCTTCAAACACCCCTAAACCCTAAACTGCACACGGTTCAGGGTTCAGGACATCAGGTATAGAGCCTAGGCTAACGATCTCAGGATTTTGGTTGAAAGCCTTCATGTTGAGACCCCTATAAGGACTCGGTTTTCAGCGACTCCGGTTAAGGCCGCCGTGGCTGCCGCCTTAAACTTCCTAGCCTGCCACAAGTTTCTATTGGCTTCCGGGCTTTCGACGCAAAGCCGCCTTGCCAAGCTAAAGTTCCCGAAAACCCGAAAGTCTGAAACCCCAAACCTGAATCTCTAAGCATGTCGGCCCTGAAACCCAAAACCTGAAACTTTGAGCATTTCGGCCTTCAAATAGATGAAAACCGAAAGCACCAGCTACAGAGCAAGAGCGCGAAAGCGACGCAAGAGAAAAAGAGGAAGAGAGAGAGAGAGAGAGGCATGCATATATATATATATATATATATATGCATGCATACAAGTACATATATCTCACTACTATGTTTATGTATATGTGTATGTATGAGTGTGTGTATATATATATATATGTGTGTGTGTATATGTATATGTATATGTATCTGTATATGTATACCTATATGTATATCTGGTGTATATGCATATTTATATGTGTATCTATATGTATACGCATATGTATATGTGTATGTATATGTACATGTATGTGCATATGTATGCCAGCCCCTCGAACCCAAAGATGACCGACCCGGCCAACCAAACGCCAAAAACGAGGCCGAAGCCAGGTCGAGGCTTCTTGCATTAGGGCCTTAAGGCTGACGATGTCTGCCGTGGGCAGAGGTTTCTGGGCTGGTACAGCATCACTGCCCGGGTTCACTGGGCTCAAGTTGAAGACTGGTAGGATGTTAATATAGGGGCCTTAACAATTAGTAGGTTTTGGGGGGCCCTTTATACCATTTTAATCATACTAAGGAACCACCCAAAACAGCTTTGGAAAGGTTCTGGGGGCCCTTTCTACTGTAATCATACCAAGGAATCCCCAAGCTAGTTTTGGAATTTATTTAGGCCCCTTAAAGTAGTCCCCACGACTTCCTGCCTGGGACAGGGTTCTCTGCCGACACGACGGGCTGATCCTCGCGGGGTTTCAAGCCAAAGGATCCAGGCCAACCCTCCATGCGTTTGGTGGGGTATCATGTTCCGAGGATTTGCAATAAGGATGCTTGTATTTGGGGTCTAGATCAGGGCTCCATACTTGCTGAAAGTCGTATCTGTGTGCAAGGCGTCGAGTCCCAGATAGGCGTAAGCAGTGAGGAAGTACTAGCCAAGAGGTCATACAAGCAAACATCCAAAGTAGAATCCAGTCCGTTGGAACGCTGTTGTCCCCCTACCCGTATTTCATAGTAACTCGACATAGAGGGCTTCCAGCACAAATCATCCTTCCAAGCAACAAGTGCATGCTACGAGTTTAAATGCGCTACGGTCCGTCTCTGGGCGCCTCGTCTCACTAACCACTCATCCAAGGGTTCCGTGTTTTCCGGACCAGACAGGTCTGCAAAGGCTGGGATTTTCACAAGCTACGCAGCCGCGAAGATGCCCGAAAGCCGCACAAGAGCAAACCCCGAAACTCCCGAGCAGGATCATTAAATCCCCAACCCTCAACCCCGAAAATCCTATATAAGCCAAATTGAAGGCCCCCCCAAACCCCAAACCCGCAACCCTCAACCATCGGATGCCTCCTTCCGGGCGAGAGCTGGCCAGAGGGAAAAGGTACTCGGCCTTAAACGCCCAGTCGAGGCATGGGGTTTGTAAGGTTCCAGGGTTCAGGGGTGCAAGGTTTACGGAATGGGAATCCCGGATTGCAAGTCCCTGAACACTAAACCCTACCCTAAACCCTGAATCCTGAATCCTATATAAACATCCCTAAACCCTACACCGTGGGTATCTTCTTCCTGTGTTGTTCGGGAGACTTGTGGCGGCCGTGGGTCTAGCTTCGATCCAGGAGCTGGCTGGGTTAGGCCGTGCTTGCTCATTCGTTTATAGGGGTTTTCGGGGGTTAATGGTTTAGGGGTTTAGTGCTTATAGCGTTTAGGGGGTTTTGGGGTTCAGGGTTAAATTCAACATTGGAGTAAACTTTAAACCGCGCATGGGTCGCATGGGATCTGATGACATCTTCGGTTGGGTCGTCTACTCAGCGTCGATGGTTCTCGCGGCTGGTACTGCTTGCTCACACTGAACCAAGTAAGCCTTAATCCGTCAACCCCAACCGTAATACCCCAAATCCAAAGTTGAAGCTGAAAATACGAAACCAATAAGTTGAAGTGTAGCAGGGTGGGAAGTGCCGTGACATGGGGTTGCAGTGTCCACATCCTTCGCTTGCC